TGGGAATTCCAGAACACTTAATTGTGCTAATGCGGAACTTGTACATAGACCAAGAGGCAGTCGTTCAAACAGAACAAAGAGATACAGCACAGTTTAAAATCAGGAAAGGTGTGCATTGGGGTTGTATCCTTTCACCATACTTATTCAATCTGTATGCGGAGCAAATAATCTGAGAAACTGTACTATATGATGAATGAGGCAACAGGATTGGAGGAAGACTTATTAACAACCTGCAATATGCAGATGACACAACCTTGTTTGCTGAAAGCGAAGAGCACTTGAAGCACTTACTGATGAAGATCAAAGACTATAGCCTTCAGTATGGATTACACCTCAACATGAACACAAAAATCCTCACAACTGGATCAATAAGCAACATTATGATAAACAGAGAAAATACTGAAGCTGTCAAGGATTTCATTTTACTTGGATCCACAATCAACGCCCATGGAATCAACAGTCAAGAAATCAAAAAACTGGGATCACAACAGAGGGTCCACAACAGAGCAGGAGCAAAAACAAAAAATCAAATTCACAAAAAAAAAGACCAGGCTTGCTGCTCTGCCAGAGACTGGAGGAACCCCGGAGACTATGGCACTAAGACACCTTTCTGACCTGGAAAGGAAGTCATTCCCAGAGACCACCTCCCAGCCAAACAATAGGCAAGCACTTAAGATAAACATTAACACCCGAGAGGAATGTACTCCTTACAACAATCAATTATACGAGATCAAAGGGGAAGTATCTTCCCGAAAGGAAAGATGAGAAGGCAGGAAGGGGTAGAAAATCCAGATGAAGGAAATAGGGAATCCAGGGCGGAAGTGGGGAGAGTGCTGACACCTTGTGGGGAATGAAACCAAGGTCTTCAAACACTTTATGTACAGACCATTTAATGGGAAACTAATTTGCTCCGTAAACTTTCATCTAAAGCACAATTTAAAAAAAAAATCAAACAACATATTGCATTGGGCAAATCAGCTGCAAAACACCTCTTTAAAGTGTTAAAAAGCAAAGATGTCACTCTGAGGACTAAGGTGTGCCTGACCCAAGCCATGATATTTCCAGTCACCTAATATGCATGCGAAAGTTGGAGAATGAATAGGGGAAGACCAAAGAATTCATGCCCTTGAATTATGGTGTTGGCGAAGAATGCTGAACATACCATGGACTGCTGGAAGAATGAACAAGTCTGTCTTGGAAAAAGTACAGCCAGAGTGCTCCTTGGAAGCCAGGATGGCAAGACTTCGTCTCACATACTTTGGACATGTAATGAGGAAGGTCCAGTCCCTGGAGAAGGACATCATGGTTGGCAGAGGGTCAGTGAAAAAGAGGAAGACCCTCAATGAGCTGCAACAATGGGCTAAAACATAGCAATGATTGTGAGGATGGCACAGGACTGTGCTTTGTTTCCTTTTATTGTACATAGGGTTGATTCAACAGCACCTAACAAACTTGCAAAAGAAACAAAGTCCTATCACCATGGGAAACAAGCTGCTGTTAGTAGATTTACCTTTTGTACAATATACAATACTCCACTATCTTAAATTTCAAAGTTCCATACTCTTCTTTGGATTATATTATGAGATATCCACTACTTTCTGTTAAATTTTAGACAACCTATTTTCTGGAATAATCTTAAGTGCACAACGGAAACTTTTTACTTTTAGCTCAGATTACATAAACTATAATTAATCCTTTAGAAGCTTGAATTTTTTGAAGATTATGAGAACAGATGAAATTAACCCAAATATATAATAACTTTATTTGCATTTTAAAATAATTTAAAGGTCTGTGTCAGGGTTTTTTCCCTAAGATAACTGGTATTCGTTCTACCAATGTTTTTTCTTCTCCCATTCCAAGAAGGTAGCCAGGCTGTCTCAAGGATTTCTTAGCAAGGCCTAAATCCACCTTCTGAAGTCAACTGATGCTTCTGGTTCTGTGTAACTGCTTCCTATTCCATGAGAATACAAGAGGAGAAAGTAGGAAACAGAAGGGATAAATGCATACAATGCCCCAAAAGGCTGAACCACAGACATATGAACTGTGTCAGTTGAGCATCAAGCCCCAAGTATGACAAGAAGGCAACGTCACCAGACTTCAAGGAGCTGGTCCATCTTGAACAAGAAAGCATCAGTGAAGTCCACGATGGAAGCTAGAGGCTCTCCTCATTCCCACCTTCATTTCAGAGTACCATTTAAGTCTTCTGGTTTCTTGTGAAAAACTGGGGAGGTCCCCTGCTCCCAGTAATGACTGACAGACTGAATTTCCTGCCATCTTTGTGCAATGGTGGCTCTGATTTGGTTTGATATAGAGAAATGTGTCATTGCAGACAAACCCAAGTTTAGGTAGAATGAGTCACACTTGCTAGATACAAATTATTGCTATTTGTATTTTTTTTTAAATACCTGAAGTCTTTTCATATTCATATTCATGACCTCATTTGATTTTTCCACCATCCTGTGAGAAAGGCTAGATGGTTTCGTTGTTACTAACTCGTTGCCATCAAGTGGATTCTAATTCATAGCCACCCTACAGGACAGAGTAGAACTGCCCCCATAGGGTTTCCAAGGAGCAGCTGGTGGACTCGAACTGCCAACCCTTTGGTTAGCAGCCAAGCTCTTAACCACTGTGCCACCAGGGCTCTGGTTTTGTTGTTAAAATTCTCAAAATCCTAGAAGCTGATCTTTAGTCTAATCAAGTACCCTTAAAATATATTCCTGTGGAACTCTGGTATCTCACTAGCTATGTGTTCCACCACTAAATCTAACACGGGGAAAAACTACTGACTCTTCAAATTTGTAGAAGGAAAAAAAACTAAATTACTGGATATATTCCAATTTTTAGCTTTTCTTTCATACTTGCTTTTCACTGATTTTTGGTGTCTCCTATAAAATACACAAATAGCAAAATTTTCAGAAAAAACTTTACTTTGCAATAACTTTATTGGGTTTCGTTCCACCTTTTGTTCAGATACCAAGCCTCAAGTCTTTGTCATTGCACACACGTATATTCCTATACCTTGGGTAAGTTATTTCTATTTAAGACACACAAACTAAATTACATCGTATTACATAAGCAGCGAGCATGGTGTGTATCGCAGAACATCATGACTTCCAGACAAGTTTGAAAATAAACTCTTCGCAAACGAGGAAGCGGAGTCCCTAATAATAACAACAGCACACAGCTCACAATTTAACTGTGTGGCAACTTCTAAATCCCAGTGTTCAGGTTCCAAATCCCGTGTTTCCTTTACATTTCAGGAAGCAGGCTCAGCTGTGAAGGAATCTGCCTAAGAACACAACTAACACGCAGTAGGGTGGAGACGGTGGGTGGGGAGGGGACAACATTGATGTCCCAGGCCTTCAGGTTCTCACTATTATGCCAAGCTGCCTGTTACTCAACACCCTCTGGCCAATGACGCTGAAAAAGAACGCACAGGATTTCTAATGGCACGCTAAGGTTAGTAGCCACACACAAAGGACCACCCCAAGCAATCATAGAGTCATTCTGTTTTATATTTTTTTTTATTGAAATGACAGTAAGATAAAATAAAAAAAGAACACTGACCCTTTTAATCAAACTTTTACTTTAGAAATATAAAAATATAACCAAAACTTCTATTTCTTTTATACATTTTCTATAAACTTAATACCAGAAAAGTTCTTGAAGCCAAACTATAAACGATGCTCGAACATTATGTGAACACAGTACCAAGTCAGTTTTTAAATGCACAATCTTTCCCTCAACTGAACATAGTCAATAAATTTTCCCGACTTATCTCTAGTTTTACCAGACGATCCATCACTAAAACACAAAATACACCTGAACTGGCTTAATTTAGACTTACTTAGTAGGTTTTAGTTTTTCACAAAAACAAGTTTGATAAGTATAATACAAGCTAATAATAAAATGTGTTTTATGGCTCAAGTCAAATTACAGTATTGTTTCTCATCACATATTTTAAACAACAAAGGCAAACTGCATGAAACGAGTTCAGTTTACCCAAACAGTGATACAAAGTAAGTGGAAAAAATTACGGGAAGATTTAATCTTATGCTATAGAAGCCGACTTGCATTATAGTCAAAAAAACAATACGCCTTCTTTGGCAAGGTGACATATAAAATTGCAAGCTCTCTGAAGCAGTCCTAGTGATTAGCACACATTGTTCCAAACACTCTGAACTAGTAAAAGCAGTAAGCTTGAGGAACTCAAACGTGAAAAAGCCACTCCAAGAACTTCATCTCAAGTGACTAAGCAATACTAAAAAAATAGTCATTAAAGGGCTGAGAGCATAAGAGTCACATCATGTAAAAAAGGGAATTTTAAACTGATTGCTTGCTGGCCTGCTGAATTTGGAGGATCTCTTAACTTCTCACTTCTAATTAAAACTGGAAGAAAACAGACTGGCTAATTTGGTTACATTTCATCCAAATACAATGCTATCTTGCTGGAACCCTGAAATACCCAAAATCGTAACTGAATTGTATAATACTAGTTACAAGGGAAGACAGTAACAGTACAAATTCACAGAGAATTATCATAATGCCATTTTAATTATTACCCTTATTAAAAAAATCAGTGGTCTTCATCACTTAAAAAAACAAATTTCATTTTTCTTTAATGCGCTAAGTCATTCTAAGTATGATATATAACAATTAAGCGCAAATTTAGTTTTTCCTGAATCTACCGAACATTTTAGTGTCATTTAGTAGTTATATATAGAATATGCACTACTTGGATCACTCAAGGAAAATAACATGACATGTATTGTAGTTACATAATGCCAAAGAGGGCTGGCTCTCATCTGCAGACAGCCTTGAACATAGTAGGCATTCAAATATAAGCCAGTTAATCAAGAGCTCATCTTAAAACTATTCAGTAATTAGTATGCTGATAATCAGAATGCACAATTTCAGACCATTAGTTCTTGAAGAAGTGTGATAAGAACTTACGTATCAAAAGAGCTTGGTGTTAAGCAGTGCCCTTGTATCCTCTTCTAATGCTGCAGGACAGCTGAATTCCCCTAGTTCTACCATTTCTATCAGGAAACCTAAAACAAGAGAATATTGGGTTCCAAGTACACCTGACTAGTGCAAAAAAAGTTTTAAAAATATGTGTGCAGTGTTTGTGTGTCCTCATTCAGGAAAAGGAAGCGATTATTAAATCAGCTAAACTGAATGAATTTTACACTTAAGATTACAGCTCTTATATCTCAAGGTTGGTAACCCAAACAAGCGGAATCAAAGGTTTTCCTCACTTAGGCACTAGTATATGGATGACTGACTCAAGCTCTTATACTGGGAAGAAGTCATCCAGAAAGAACTTCTAGTCTGAAGGTTAAGTTACAAAGGACATGACTGGCCTCAAATGAGATGACTCTTCAACGCAAACACTCCTTAACCGACAGCACTTCATAAATCACACCAAGAAAAAGCCCATTTCTTTCCATCCCCCCAACTGCAAGAGCTAACATACGAAATGTGGTCACTGTAGCTTTCCACTTGGATGCTAGAAGCAATGGTGGAAAATGGGCTTGATCAACCCTTCCCCATCTTTTTCCTTTCCCCATCTTGCAGGACTTGGTTAATCAGTGAGCTTGCCAGGAAAATTATACTAAATTAGAAATGTGCTAATGTAAAACCAGGGAAGAGGACTATCCACAGAACCAGTGAGTTTTTCAAAGGAAATCACAGGCTATTTTGGGTCATGGAGACTGGTGCTCCCTACTGCTAAGCAGAGGCATGGTTATAATCATTATTTGATACACAACCATGTGAAGGTTTGACATGACCTCAACTAAATGAACGGGAATGCTTTTGAATAGAATTGCTGATTTTCTCAAGGCTAAATAGGGAAGACCATATGACATAGCTTTCACATCACCCAATATTCAGGAGATCAGTACTGTCATCAGTACCACAAAGGCATTAAGAACTAATCAAAAGTTCATTTCTGTCTACTGAAAACTGTACCAATCTTTGTTTTTAAAAGTAGCTGCAACATACAAGATTTTTAATATTAAGCCTACAGTCAACAAGTCTGCAATAAGGCACACACAGTATGTTTCTACCACTAATCAATGACACAACTAGCAAACTCCTTTGCCCTAAAATTCTTTTTTTATTCCCCAAACAAATTTAATCCAAACTTGGCAGTGTTTTAAAAAATTTTTGAACTTTGTGTTTTTCTCTTAGGCTGACAAAAATCTATCCCCTACCCTGCCCCTAGATTTCAGTTGATTTAGATTACTAGAAAATAATTTTGAAATGTTTTTGTTATCACATGCTAAAACCAAATTTTCTTCTCTATGGATATAACTTCAAGCTGGGTGAAATAACTAACTTGCAATGCCTGCTGAGCATCTAAGAGTTCAAAACTAACAGATCCACTTTTAGAAACTTCCTTCATGGATCACTATTTTTACCATGCCCTAAGAATAACTAAGACAAACAATTTCACAACAGCATACATTACTAATACCACTGTTACATGAAGGAGAAAAAAATGAGTTCTATAGTAGTCTCTTTTTTCACCAATTCCCATGACTTTCCCAACCTAGCCAATTTTAATAGTTTCCCATATGCTTAAGGTCTGTTGCTTGTGAACCAAGGTCTGGACACATAAACTGTACCACTCAGTAATGTATGTGAGTTCTGCTGTAACAGAACTCACTTGTGTTGTTTTTTTTGTTGTTGTTGTTGTTGTGTGCCATCGAGTTGATTCCAACTCATAACGACCCCAAAGAACTCACTAGGGTGTAAAATTTGGTACAGAAGTTGCACTTTGAACTCAACCAAGCAAACTGGGTCCTAAAAGTAATGTTAAGATTCTCATCACAAAAATCTGTAACACTGTCTTAGAGTATGCCCCCAAGAATGATATCAGAGCAAGGGTCCAATAAATTTGGCTGAACTAAATCTGCCACTGTCTCTTAACATTCACCAGCCTGGGGAAAAAAATAACAATCCTCACCTGTAAGAATTTTAAAAGTTTAATATGAAGTAAAAAAAAAAACAAAAACAAAAAAACAAATAGAAAGAAGTCCACTTGTTTAACGTTGTACAAAAAAGTATGAGTAGAACAAAAAGTGAATTAAACATTATCACATTTGTTTACACCACTATCTACTTATTCATATTAACTTTACTATTCAAACAATAGAAAGTAGGGGTAACTCAGGGATTGGGAAAGAGAAAACAAAAAACCTTGTCTACCATATTTATTATTCTACACTGAGGATAGCTGTGCTCACAGAGACGGCTTCTTTTACTTCTCCACTGCGCAGGAATTCAGTTGTATATAAAATTGAACCTGAATTTAAAAAAGAACAATACTCCTTATTAAAAACAGTATTATTTAACCTAGCTTCCACCTTACATGATAAGGAAATTTATCTCGATGCTTCTACTCTCCCTTGACATTTTTGGCATTTTCTACACCAAGACACATTTTTCTCTCACCTACCATATCTTACGCATTAAATACCAGTGAATACTTACAGGAAAAAAAAAAATTAACAGTGTAAATTTGATGAATTATCCACTAAAAAGTTCCCTGAAGGCAGAAAGAAGATTTTTAGCCATCATTTTACTCTCACCACTCAGCATAGCTCCCGACACTTGTAGCTAAGTGTTTAAATAAATAAGTAGTATGACTCTTTTTTTATATTCCATACTTCAGTTTGTAACCCATCAGCAGGCCAACACAGAAGGACAACAGATGAAGTCTGATTAGTGACAAGGTAAAAAGACCAATTTTGTACTCAGCAAGCTTTCACAGAATGCCAAAATCACTACTGGAATTGTTTTTAAACTAGTATTTATTGGGTGCTAACCAGGCGCCTGGCACTGTTCTAAGCACTTTATATGTGTTATTTTACTTGGTCCTCATAATCTTATGAAGTAGGTACTACCATCCCCATTTTATAGAACAGATGAAGAAAAAGGCAAATAGGTATAATAATTTGCCCAAGTCCACACTGTCAGCAAGTTCTTGGGATTCAAATCCAAGCACTGACTATAGAACTTACATTCTTAACCATGCTATTCTGTGAGTCCTATCCATGGTTGGTTCTTAGAACCTCAACCTGTGAATCACTCTATCTGCCTAAAAACACAAACTCCATGTTACAATTCAGGATCTAATTTCACATGCCCTAATTTGGGCCTCAACACAGTAGGTTCCAAAAAAGAAGAAGAATATATTACATCAAAAGATTCGATTTTCCACATTTTTACATAGACAAGCTTCCTCCTACTCACACCCCCACCCCTCATTTACACATTGCTGACTATTATTTTATCATTTCTTCTTTTGATGAAGACTTCAAGCTTAATTGCAGGGAGTATCAAATTAGGGGAAGAGAAGTTACACAAATACCAGAATGTCATGCTGTAACTTAGGGTCTGGGGGACATTTTTAGTCAGTCATTAAAAGTCATTTAATCTATGGCTGCACTTAACCTAAGGGTCCATCTCCTGTCCTAGTTTCTTTGAAGACCAAAATTCATAAACTATGCCTTCTCAAGTGGCTCAGAAGATTGTAAAACTGAGAGTTTACATGAATAAATCACGAAACGTTCAGCATTCCATACCTGCTCAAGAGCTGAGGGAGACTAGAAATGATGGGTCCGTATCCTGGTGCATTGTCATACAATTCAAACAATGGTGCAGCTACCAGCTTGTAATTTTTTGGGACTGCAAACAAAGCTAAAATAAACAGACCAGTCAGTATTCATTTTCTATAAGTTTTTCAAATAATTACTGCTTCCACTTCACTTTTAAATTAATCACCAATTTTACATTTGAGGAAAACTTATTTCCGGAGAATACTTTTAAGGAAAGCAATCATTCTCATTAATACATTTTGTGTCTTTTCGCAAGAGTTCACAGTAACAGCTTTGAAACAAACTGATCCTCTACAAATTCCTGCTATTAACAACCACGAGCACCTTATAAGCACTGGGCGAAAGGGGAAAAGAAGAGACTTGGGTTTGTAATTTATTTTGGATTCCATTATAAGACTATCATAAAAAATGGAATAATTACTTGTTAAAACTCATAGCAGGTCTAAAGATGTATTAAAATATTTTAAAAATCAATTCATTTGTCTCCCAAAATTTTCAATAATTTATCACCCAACAGTTAACAATGCTTCTTGAGAAAAACAATACCAGCAGCTAAACAATTATTTTTAAAATTTGACCATAATTTGATATTTTAGGTTTTGTTAAATTTATTTTTCCTTCTGTAGCATGATTGGCACATCTAAAAGAAAAACTAGGTAATTCTGTTAGCTTGGTGTATGTTTTTAGATTTACAATAAATCCAAAAATTTAAGGAATTTGGAGAAAACACAATAGAGATATCCATGAAATTACAGAAGTTTTTAGACGGCTGTCTTAAAGAACGAAACAACTTACCTTTCTCTTGAAGTTGAACCAGAAACAACTTCTTATGTTCCTTAGGCTTTGTGATATGTGCAGGAATATATGGATACTAAAATAACAAATGAGAATGATCTGTAGTTTCCCCAAGCTACCATTCCTTACACTTCCATGTCTGTTTACCAACTTCTCCCATTTCAGAGATTTAGCTCAAATTATCACCCCTTCTGAGACCAAGTTCCTCATATTCCCAGCACAATTTTATTTTAACATGTATCCGATAGCTTCATTTCTTTCTTTACATGTTTACTCCCCAATACAGTGTAAAGTGCTGGGAGAAGCAGACTCCCTTTTATTCTTCCCTTTACTGAGACCCAGTAGCTGACAGATATATTAATAAATAAATGCTTTAATAAATATAAAATAATAAGTAGCAAACCAGTTAGGACAATTAAATATGTAGTCACAAGAGTTATAACTTGAGAAATTGATAACACAATAAAGTCTGATTTTAATTAGTGTTCTTAATAAAAGTTATTTGTTGTCCTTTTTCCCCCAAATCATTACCAAGTTAAAATTTCTAGAATCCTGATGTGAATATTTTTACTGTATTAAAAGTTTAAATATAGCCCATGAGATAACTGACAAGACCTCAACCACATATGCCTCTCTCCTGAACCCCACTGGGGCTCATGATTCAGGAACAGATGAGCTGCCTAAATGGAGCTCTGCCAGCTGGGCAGACCAAACTGCTTGGGGGAATGGAAAAAAAAAAATTAGTTTTTGAGAATTTAAGGGGATGATGAAAATTAGAGGGGAGACTGCTGACTGAGAAAAAAAAATTTTGATATAGAAAACAAAAATGTCTAAGGTAGGGATTTTCTGTTGTTATTGTTCTGTGTGTGTGATATGAAAATCTACGTTTCTGCACAAAAAATTCAGAAAAATCTGCTGTTGCTTTTGGAACTGCTGAGAGGGCAGGGGGATTAAAAAGTCCTAAAAATAGACATAACGGGAGAGTGAGATAAAAGTAGAAGCTTCCAAAAGGAACCCAGTGAAATTGAGACTATTACGGTTTCAAAATCCATAAGCTAGACATCAATAACATATACTAGGGTTTGGCCAACTACAACCTGTAGGCCAAATCCAGACTAATTCTTGTTTTTGTAAATAAAGTTTTACTGGAACACAGCCATGGTCATTCATTTACATATTATCTATGGCTGCTTTCATGCTACAATGGAAGACCTGAGTAAATGCAGCAGAGACGCTATAGTCTGCAAAGCCAAAAATACTTACAGAAAAAAATTGCTGGCCTCTAATATATAGCATTTATTACATGTTCACAGTGGCCAGGCACTGTGTTAAGTACTTTATTCTTTCAATTAATCCATTTTACACACGTAACTCCCACTAAAAGGCTAAGTATCTTTCCCAAGAGTACACTGCTAAATAGTTAAGTCAAGAGTCAACTATTTCTATTCAACTATAAAAGCCTCAAATGTTATTTCCCACTATGCTGTCTCATTGGTACTTAACCAATATTCAAGTTAAAATAATTACAAACCAGAGCCATCCCTAGGGTACAATGAATTGAGGCAACTGTCCTAGGCAATTGTCCTAGGCTTTGGAGATCCCCTACCTTACCAAGAAAATCAAGCACAGTGGCAGCAACAGAGAAACAAAGAGGTAAGAACTGGCATGAGTGGCACAGGCTAAGAGACCTATAGTTCACATACAACACAAGTTCCCAAAAAATAACAACAAAGCCAAAGTGAGCGGCATTACCCCGATTTTCTACTCGAGGCCACGCGTTCCTTTTTTGAAGACTTTTCTTCTCCAATCCTGGCCTTGACATTTAAGCCAATTGCACTTTATACAAAAAAACTAAGATAGGGAGATGCTGTTGTGCTTCTTTTCCCGCTGCCACCTAACCAATACTCTGTTGTTATTAACTGCCATCAAGTCGGAGCCAACTCATGGCGAGCTTATGTATAATAGAACAAAACTGTGGGATCCTGAACTATCTTCACAACTGTTGGTGTGTTTGAGCCCACTGTTACAGCTATCGTGTCAATCCATCTCATGGAAGGTTTCCCTTGTTTTCGCTGACTTTACCAAGCATGATGTCCTTTTCTAGTGATTGGTCTTTCCTGATAACATGTCCAAAGTAAGCAAGACAAAGTTTTATCATTCTTGGGTCTAAGGGGCATTCTGGCTGTACTTCCTCCAAAACTGATTTATTCATTCTTCTGGCAGTCCACAGTATATTCAATATTCTTTGCCAATACCGTAATTCAAATGTGTCAATTCTTCTGCAATCTTCCTTTTTTCATCGTCCAGCTTTTGCATGCACCATCTGTCAGTTTATCATACTGCAGTGGCATCTTGCTATGATGCTAGAAATGATGCCACTGGTATTTCATATACCAGCAGGGTCAACACCATGGTAGACAGGTTTCAGCAGAGCTACCAGACTAAGACAGACTTGGAGGAAGGGCCTGGCGATCTACTTCTGAAAATCAGCCAAAGAAAACTTCCTGGATAATCAATATTCTAGGTTTACTAAATAAATACATAGCCATGTGTTATACCTTATACCCTAGGGTTCAGTGAATTAAGGGTACTGTCCCAGGACTGTGGTAGGGGAAACGAATGAAGATATTCAAGAAGTAGCCTGGAAAACTTCTTGAGTTATCACTGAGCATTTTCCAATTAGATCAAGGTAGGTTCAAGAAATCAAAAAATGTTTAGAATAACTATTCTATCATCTTTGGATATATAGGAACTTCACTATTTCCACATGAAATTGTATTTTCTTCAAGCCAAATTCACGGCAATTCTTACGTAGTAAGCACCATGACAATTAGGACAAACAATGAAAATCAATTCCCCACGAGCTTCCACAGCAACTTACCTTTCTATCCCACTGCTATACAACTGAGTCAGAAGGAAGCGAACAGACAAAACAATCTTTTTCTTGGAAAATATTTTGTTGCAATGCTTAATCTGGAACATCTTGTCATGCAAAGAAGCTATCAAAGTCACAGGGCCTTTTCAAAACAATTCAGGATTTTTTTTTTAAAAGATCTATTATCTTTTAGAGATGCACACTGAAATATTTACAATTTAAATATGATACCTAGAATTTGCTTCAAAATAAGCCAAGGTAAGGGCAGGGGTAGAAGGGCAATGGGGGACAGGGGCTTATGAAACAAGTCTGACCATGAGCTGTTAACTGTTGACAGAGTAGGTTACTTACTATTCTCTCTACTTTTGTGTATCTTTGAAATTTTCCATTAAAAAAAAAATTGTAATTTTTTATCTAAATTAAGGAAGGAAGAAAAGGAAATTTCAAGACAAATTCTGCTTTAATCTCTCGGGGGAGGGGGGGATGAAATAAGTTTTTTGCTTTTCCAAATGTCCAGCAAATACACGAACACTGACCTGAGGCGGTTCAAAATTTGGTCTCCACCAGTTACCAATGCAGTCATCAATGACCCAGTCTTGCAAGACTCCATCTTGACGACCTAGTATCTGTCAAAAAGAAATGATACATCCAGTTAAAACAACTAAATATACATACACATGAATACCCTTCTTTAGTGAAGAGAGTACTTTCGGCAGCACTCCTAACAGAGACATATGGCTAGTGTAACTTCCACGTATGTCTCCTTTCTATAATTTCTTGTTTATTATTATCTGTGTCACTCTGCCCAAAACATACACTGTTAGTTCAAAATTGGCAATCTAGTATAGACATGGTTACCTCATTTGTGTCAGAGTAGAACTGTGCTCCATAGGGTTTTCAATGGTTACTTTTTCAGAAGTAGATTGCTAGGCCACTCTTTGGAGACACCTCTGGGTGGACTGGAATCTTCAACCTTTTAGTTAGCAACTGAGCTTGTTAACCATTTACACCACCCAGGGACTCGTGGGGCCACCATAAATCGAAATCAACTCGACAGCAGCTGTTTTTGTTTTTTAGTATAAACTATACAGGAGCAACAAATCTATTGTTATGCCCTAGCTATACATGGAAAACCAAATCTGATCACCTAAATCAGCCAACAGCATACAATAGTTTTTCTAGAATCAACCATAAACAAATCGAAAACAAACCAAAATCAAACCCATTGCTGTCGAGTCAATTCCAACGCATGGCAACTCCATGTGTTACAGAGTAGAACTGCTCCACAGGGTTTTCTTGGCTGCAATCTTCATGGAAACAGATCACCAGACCTTTGTTCCAAGGTGACAGTGGGTGAGTTTGAACCCCTAACCTTTTGGCTAGTAGCTGAGCGCTTAACTGTTGTGCCACCCAGGGTCTCCTCCACATTACATTTAGCCCTCATGTCTCCTTATGCTCCTCCTGTGTCTGTTTCGCAGTTTTGTTTTTTATGACTTTCACAGGAATACTGGTACAATGTCCATCAATTAGACCAGGGTTATGGATTTTGGGAGGGAAGAGCAGAGGTAAAGTACCATTCTCATCACATCATATCACAACTGCATGCTGTCAACATGACTTATCACTCATGATGTTAACCTTGATCACATGGCTGAGGGAGTTTATCATGTTTCTCCACTATATAGTTGCTCTTTTTGAAACATTCTTTTACAACCATATATTATTTATTTTTAAACACTGAAAAAGACCCTACGAACTCCCTCTACTGTGGATGAGAACTTAGATCTTAAAACCACATCCTGCACTCATACCTCCTCTTCCACCACCCTCCCATTATCAATATTGAAGTGAATATTCTGTATTTAAATTAATATGACTATCTAAATCAGTCACAACCACACAATTAAAGTATAATTACATTTCCCTATTTGTACAACTAGTCTTTCTTTAGAGTTAATAACTTTCATTTCATGTGCTACCACTAATTCATCCCCACTTCTGCAGGAAAAGTTTAAATTCTTCTCAATTCAAACATCAATTATCCTATCAGTTGAATCATCCTGCTCCAGGTTGTTCTAGATGCTCTCTAGCCCCGCTGCATAGCTGGGACTCTAGGGCTTCCTCTGCCTCTCTCCTGTGTTAGATACACTCTATATTCTGAATCCTGTATCTTAGTTTACTCATTTTGGTGGCAAACACTCTGGTAGCTTCTTGAGAAAAGGTACAAGATAACATTTTTTAAAACTCTGCAGGTCTAGAAATAACTTTATTTTACCCGTACATTTGATTTATAGTTAGATTAGATGGAAAATTCTAAGATGGAAATCACATTCTCTCAGAATTTTAAAGGTATGTTCCATGATCTTTCAGCTTCCAGTATTATTCCTGAGAAGTCCGACGCCATTTCTGATTTTGACAGCTTTATTTAACCTGTGTGTACCCCTACCCCTTACCTTTGTAGGCTTTTGGGATCTTCTCTTTACCCTAACTGATCTCAAATTTATGATGATATGTCTGTATATGGATCTTCTAACATTCATTGGAGAGGGCAGGCCAGTCTTTTCAATCTGAAAACTCACACCTTTCAGGTTTGGAAAATTGTCTTGAATTATTGCTTTGACAATTCTTCCTTTTCCTCTGTCCTTTTTATCTATAGTTTATATTGGTCCTTCTAGACTCATCCACTAATTTTATCTTTTCTCAAACTATGTTCAATCATTTAATCTTTTTATTCTACTCTCTGGTAGACTTCTTCAATTCAATCTTTCGAACCTTCTACTGAATTTTCTGTTTCTAACATTTTAATACCCATGAGTTCTTTTTTGTTCTCTGAATTATTTTTTATTTTTTAAATGGCACTGTTTCACAGGTACAGTATCTCCTCTTATCATTCCAAGAATATTAATCATAGTTTGGTTGACTGATGAATTTTCTGTTTCTGCTAAGCTCCTTTTGATCTCTTTCATGTTAAGACGCTTTCTCCAAAAGTCTGATACTTGGCTATCGGCTCACCATTAAGGATGAGGCAGTAATATGTTTGACTGTGACCTCTGTGTGCATGGGTGACAGGGCTGCACTATTTCTTCGGGAAGGCTCCCAAATGTCAGCATCTGGAGGTATTTCTTTCTTTGATCACTTTCTCCAAAAACAAAACCTCCAATCTTCTGCCTAGGGTACTTAAACCTAGTTGTCAAATTCTGTTAGTCTAGCAGAAGTCTAGGAGTCTAACTATTCAGGATGTAGATTTTCATACATTGCTTCCTTCCCGAAACTGTTTTCTTGCTTAGGGTTTTCTGATTCAGTGTTAGTCTTTACCTGACTGTAGAGAGTGTGGAAGATAATCTAGGTATAAAAATACATCCTATACAGACTTTTGATCAAAACTGTTTTAAGGCCATGCCTGCTCCTATTTTCATAGGTGCCTGGCACCTCAAATTCCTCAGCCTTTCTGGTGTTCTGCAGTGCTGGATTCTGGATTGCCTGCCAGCTAGGCTCAGATTTCTGCTAAGTCAGTTATGATTTGCCCATTTACTTCCTAGCTTCCAAAACATTTTCTTGCAATTGTCTCACTTTGCACTCTCTCAATCCTATCGGTTTATATACATATTTTTAAATGCCTTTACTGACTTTTTGGTGGAGTTTTGAGAAAAAGGAAAAGTAAGCAGGTAGGTTCAATATACCATATTTAACTGGAAGTCCAAGTACATCATAATATTTAAGAGTTACAGTGCATTTGAAAAAATACCATAAAGTCAAACTAACAGGCCAAAAGTGACAGAAATATAAGTGATTTTAGTTTTGTTTTTCTTCTGCTTTTCAGTGACCGCCAATGACTCTGCACTGAGTATATATTAGTTTTGTAATTAAGGGGAGAAAATTGCATGTTATTAAAAAAAAAAAAAAAAAAGGAATAATGAAAACAACCTACAAGTCTCAAAACCCTCCAATATTTATTCATTTCGTTCCAAGTCTTCACAGGCCGACATTAGAATGATTTACAAAAAGTAGGACAATTTAGGCAAAGTCTAAAGATAGGTGCAAAAACGAAAATAGGTACGTAGCACGAATGTTTCCCTTGTCAAAGCTCTACAAAGCCTGACTCTGGAACAAGACTGCCTGCATTCAAATCTCCAGCTCAACACACTAGCTATGCAACATCAAGTTATTTAACCTCTCTGTGTTCCGGTTTCCACATCCGTAGAACGACATTAATAACAGAACCCACCTCCTAAGAGTGTTATGATGATAAAAGGAGTTATTGCATGTAGAGCACTTAAAACTGTGCCTAACACAGAGCAAGTACTCAATAAATGTTGACTTTTATTAGCATTATTGTTACGTCAACATTTAAATGGAAAAAAGAAAAGTTAAGATAAAGCAATTATCAGTTTAAATTGCAGAAAATAAGCACTGTACTCACAATCTTGGGTTTAAGTTTCATTTACTGAAAACTAAATATTCAAAATAAACACCCTTTTCACAAGACATAAAAGGCCTAATTATCCACTAAATTGATGGTATTCACATGGGCAAAAATAAAAAACGTCAAAGTGGTTAAATAGAAAAATACCTCTGTCATTAAGCGTTTTAGTCCTTCAACTTCATCTTCCCCTGGATTAAGTTCGCCACCAGGTCTGTATAAAGGTTAAGAATTTCAGCTTTCAACTTAACACAATTTGGTGACAACAGGAAAAACACAGTAGTTATTTTTATCAAGTAATGCAATCATGTATTTTCGTGTCACATGCTAAGGCAATCAAAGCAAACAAATGTTGCAAACAATGAAAAGAATATGCTAGAAAGCTGAACTTATTACGTTAATTAACCAGCCTAACAGTACACAAATCCTAATTTTCAAACAAACAAAGTATATACCATAACATAAACCAGATGGAGAAGAAAATCTAATTTCTGGCCACCAGTCCATCCCAATCTCTTTTCTCTGGAAGCAATCTGGTGATAACGGAGTCTAGAAATGCCAAGAGGCAATCGCCCCATTCTTTAGCCCTGAGGAATAGATCATTTTTGAAGAACTTCAATCTAAGTATTTAAGACCTCTCGTTAGCTGGTCAAATAGTTGTGGTCTATATATAAACTGAGAGATTTATGAGCTTTGAAAATGAAAGTCATTTTAAGAATAGAAAACACTATTCATGCTACAAAGGAAACAGTACCAATGATTCTTAGCAGTTCTGTCATTAAGTCTAGAAACTGAGCTTGCTAACCTATTTTAAGGGACTAATCTATTTTAAGCAGCTTCTATCAAGCTCAATCATTAAATCAACTATACACAGATACGTGCAGATTTCTAGTGAGGCAATAAATGAGCACTGCACTGGAGAACTGCTCATGATTTTCTCTTTCTAAAGACTCCACTAACAGCAGTGTTTATTGAAAGAAATGACTAAGGGCTAAAATTGTATTCCAAAACTACATGACTGACAATCCCATTAAAAGCTGTCATGCTGTTAATTTCCAACACTTACAATTTGAAGAAAGTTGTTCCCAGCTGTAGCAGTAACACATGGGGTAGCCGGTGCTCATGTACAATCAGAACTCCTTCTACAGTTCTCCTCATTCCAATTTTATCAAATTCCTCCCTCATGCGCTGAAATCTGGCTGCAACAGAGCTGTCCTTCTCATAGAGGGGCTCCTTTGTACCAAAAGTATAATTGGTAAGAGGGTACCTATGATCCAAAGACAGACATCTAACATAAGACCTGAAGATCAAAATTTCTTTACCACAACAGATACCAATCATATATAAAGAGACCACAGCAAAAACTGTAGATATTGTACTCAGAGACAAACGACTTGTCCAAAGTTACACAGCTAGTTAATAAAGACAGCAGAGATTAGAATCCAGCTCTCTGGACTCTGAGGTCAGAGCTTTCTGTTAGACCAAGCTGCTACTCCTTACTTGAATTTCCAAGACTTTTCAATGTTTTTTCTTTCCCTTGTAAACCTAGCAAGAAGCCATTTTACCTTTCTGCATTTATTCTGTTGAGTAGCTTTATTCTTCCCTTCTCCTTATTCCAATCTTCTGCCCACCTCTTCCTTTACCAAGAATTCAAAATATGGCTCACAGTGTTGAAGACAATTTTCATCTTGCCTAATAAAGTTCAAATTTTTTCTTAAAAATAGTTTAAAATCCTATATTTATATTTCATCATGTGTAATAATCCCTTGATTACACCAAATGCTGAGGAGGAATGCTTTGGCTACGCCTGCCTATCCCCAAGGTATCTATTCTATCAAAAGGCCTTGACATTAATAATCAACTACCGCTTACTACGTCTCACATACTTTGGACATCTTATCAGGAGGGATCAGATTCGTCTCTGGAGAAGGACATCATGCTTGGTAAAGGAAAAGGTCAGCGAAAAAGAGGAAAACCCCAACGAGATGGACTGACAGTGGCTGCAATGATGGGCTCAAGCATGACCATGATTGTGAGGATGGCGGAGGACCAGGCAGTGTTTTGTTCTGTTGTGCACAGGGTCGCTATGGGTGGGAACCGACTCGACGGCAACCAGTTTGTTTGTTTTTTTAAGACTATAAAGAACTTCTCTAGTAGACCCAATGCTGAATCTAACATCGTTGGCATCAGCAGCTATCATACATCATTATATGCCAGGCAATTTAAAAAAAAAAATTATACCTATTAACATTGAGTTCTCACCACCCAAGAGTAGAAAGAAATAGAGACAGCCATAATATCTCCACTGCAAGAGCCAGCTCCCACATCAGTAAGGAGATGTCATCAAGATGAAATGTCAGAATTTTCAGCTGTGAAATCACAGTGCCAGCCCAGTCACATACATATTATGTCCATCATACGGTGTGCTCCCTAAAGCAAGGCCCACATGTTACTTCCTCACCACTGTAAGTCAGCACCGTGCACAGTGCCTGGAACAAAACAGGCACTCATGCAACATTTCCTTAAAGGAAAATACATTAGGGGTGGAGGAAGAGACTTGTTTTCAATTTAATAGATCATTATACATTTATATGAACTGAGTTCACAGCACAAATGATTATTCCTGAATACTGTATTTATATAGGAAAGAAAAAGTGCTGTAAATTTATCAACTCTTAACCTTAATGCAGCAATGATTAAAACATCTCACCTAGGTAAAATTTCACCTAGCTTTCGCACAACTATTTCACCTAGTTAAAATTTTAAAAACTCTACATAATGGCTCGATGCAAACTGATTTGGATAGTAAGGAAAATGAAGGAAAAACAGTATGTCCTAGTTCTGACTACCACTGTAGGTAATCCAGAAGCTGTGCTTTCCACATTCGTAAAAAGAGAACATTTGCCTTTTCCATTTCATGGGAATCTTGTGAAGATTTTTTTTAGAGATATAAAATTGAAATGCTATATTTTATGTTAATGCAATACTTAGACAGATAGTAGATTATACATACACAACTATCAACTAATTCCAGGTTTATAAACCGAACATTTTTATTATCTTAATTTCCAAGCCAGTACCTGATTTTCTAAGCAAAACAAGGATAAAAGCCATTTTTTCCATTTCAAATTTCTTTCGGTTTTTCGGGAGAAAAGTTCATTTATCTGAATATAAAACAGAAACCTAAAGTGTCTTACCAAAACACTAATATCAGTAAATCCTTGCACCTTGTAAAGACTGACCAGCAGAAAGTGATCCCTATCTTCCATGAGGGCCAGCACCAAACTGTACACTGTCTCAAAAACAAACTCTCAGAAATGATTTAAAACAAACAAAAAAAGCCAGACAATTTCTTTAACAAAACACATCTCAAATGCAAATCACCTGCCACAGCAAGATTGTGTTTGAGAGTGACCTCGAAATGCAATGGCTTCAAGTGCTTAATCAGAAAGGTGTTGAAGATAAAACACAGCCCACAATGGATTCTCTGGGACAACATCTTAGTACCCTCGACGGTTTGAAACCCCAACCATTAACAGTGCCCACCCTCCCAAGCTGGGGCCTACTAGATGCCTGGATGCTGTGGCTGCAGCAGAGACGACTTAGGTGAGTGGACAGGACAGGAAAGATAGTCACGAACAGATGAACGAAATGCGGCCTACGCATAAACGGAAATAATACACAGCAGTTAATAAGCAAAAACTAGACGTATACATTATAGTTAAGATTCCGAAAGCTTATTGTTAGAGAATAATGAACACTGCAAAAATAATACTACGGTATACGGCTCGTATCAAATAAAAAACATACAAAACAATACAATAGACTTGATGGGAAAGCATAAACACTGGACCAGAAGGATAAACATCAAATTTTGAAACTGGCTACCTCTGGGAAGCCGGGGAAACGATGAGTTCAAGGCAAACTTCAGTTTGCCTATAGTGCTTTATTTATTTTATTCTAATAAAGACTACAGCAAACGTGACTGAATACAGGGAAGAAGGAAAACCCTCTCGAGTAGGAAGGACTCTAACCCCTTGGGGTTGGAGTACGAGGAAAGGGCCAGAGAAGCGCGCACCCGCGAGCAGGAGGCGGGAGAGAGGCGTGAAGCCAGCCTACTAGTCGGGGGCGCGCCGGAAGAAGAAGACAGAAGTCTTTACGAGCGCTCAGGCGGAGAGGATGCCGGCGAAGGCCGCGCTGGAGGCGGACCGCACTTACAGGTTGATGGTGCGCTCCAGGGTGAGGGGCTTCGTCTGCTGGATGTACTTGTTGCCGAACTGGTTGACGCCCCGGGGCCAGCCGGTCTGCGAGCGATTGGGCGGCACCACAGACATGCTGGCGAGCTCGGGCACTGACGGCAAGCGGAAAGCTGGAGGCAGGGAAGACTCTCCCCGTGCGGGCAGCGGTTATATGCGTCCAGCTCAGCAGCCGCCACCCGCCATTAACAGGAGAGCGCAAGAGGAGCTTTACGCACGCCGGAAGTGCATTAGGAGCCTCTGGCGGCAGGAAGTAGAGAGGCGGTGCCTTGCCTGGCCGAGCGCCATTGGGCCAATCGCTGGGTGGGCTGGCCACAATATCTGAAATTCTCATTGGTAATGCAAGTATAGGTCCCGCCTTCTCTTAATTTCTATTTCCCATTGGGCGACGCTAAGGAACATGGGAAGGGGGCGTTCTGGGAATTGTAGTCTCCTTAGGAAAGGTGCTGCTTGATGAGTGTCGCGTGGGTCTGTACCCGATAAGGAGATGAGTGGGAAACGGCCGGCGGAGCCCGGCCCTGCCCGGATAGGGAAGAAGGGAAAGAAGGAGGTGATGGCGGAATTTTCGAACGCTGTTACGGAGGAAGCTTTGAAAAAGCAAGTGGCTGAGACCTGGAGCCGCAGGACGCCGTTTAGTCACGGTAACCGGGCCCTTGTGAGGGAGGGACGTCCGCACAGGGACCCCGGGGCTTTGGAAGAGTCCTGGGACTTCAGCCGAGCCTTGGGAAATGGGGCCGGAAGGGACGAACGTGTTGAAGAGAGTGTGACTTTGGCCACTTCCAACCCTCCTGTCTCGCCTGCCACTCTTTTTCATTCCAAGTTCAGTTTGAATTTAGAAACCAGACAGGAGTTAAAAATGTAGGCCGGGAAGTGAAGGGGAAGGAGAGGGGACACAAGTTCATAGTTGAACTCTGAAATCAGAGATTACTGTTAGAATTCTCTGCACTGATTTTGCGTCTTTGGGTAATTGATTTAACTTTTTTAAGCCTAGTTTCTTATTCTGAAAAATGAGACAATTAAGAATAGCGTTTTCCTGGGAGAGTTGTCGAATGGAATTAATGAGCTAATGCTTGTATACATAAATGAATGTTTCCCTGAGTGAAGACCAATAAACATTTGGATAAATATTTGAGTGGCTTATGTGATGTTTCCTCTTAAGGTTGTCCCATGGTAGCCTAGCTAGGGCATTTGTTGTGAGCTTCCAGACAGCAGGCACCTGATCTTAAAAACATTTTACAAACCTATAGTTAGGACTATGGAGCCCTGCAGGCGCAGTGGGTAAGAGCTCGGCTGCTCATCAAAAGGTCGGTTCAAATCACCAGCCGCTCCTTGGAAACGCTATGGGGCGGTTCTACTCTGTCCTATAGGGTCGCTATGAGGCGGAATTGACTCCACCGCAACGGGTTTGCGTTTTTTTTTTTTTTTTTTTTGTTGTTGTTGTTGTTTTTAAGTTTATAGTTCGATTACGGAGCCCTGGTGGTGCGTGGTTAAGACCTTGGCTGCTAACCAAAAGTTGGTGGTTGGAATCCACCAGCTCCTCCTTGGAAACCCTACGGGGCAGTTCTACTCTGACCTGTAGGATTGTTATGAGTCGGATTCGACTCTATGGCAACAGGTTTTTGGTTTGTATAGTTCGGCTACAAAGAACACTGGTGGCGCAATGGTTAGGCTGTCAGCTGCTAACCGAAAGATACGAGGTTGGAACCCACCAGCCGCTCTGCGGGAGAAAAGATCTGACAATCTGCTCCCGTGAAGATTACAACCTAGGAAACCCTCTGGGGCAGTTCCACTCTGTCTTGTAGGGTCGCTATGAGTCAGACTGGACTCAAGGGCACCCAACAACAACATAGTTTGACTATGTAGTCTATGAAAATAAGTGTGTTGACCAAGGGAAGGAACTAGACTGAACGATTCCAGCCATGGCTGCAAATGTGACATTAGAGGATAAAAACTCTGCTTTTCCTTCTAAAGGATTTTTGTTTCAGTTAAGTTCTTTAAAGAGATGGATCCTACCTAGGTGCTCTGGATGCACGTAGAAAGTGATAGCTTAGTTTTTTAAATGTAAGCTCTGTACTCTCAGAAACTTCTCCGTTTCATTTGTAGAATAGGGGTAATGATTAAGTCTACCTCAGAGTCGTTGAGATTAAATGAGATAATGAATGTAAAGCACCACTGTACCTGGCATCTGGTAAGTGGTGGTGGTAGTGGTGATGATGATAATTATTAACAGAGGAGCATATATTCTAGCCTATCAGAAGCAGTGGATAAAGTGTTGGGGTAGAAATCAAGGAATTGGAGGTTTTACCTGACCTGATTTAAAAAAAAAAAAGAAAAAGAAGAAGAAGTATGTGCCTTGTAACTTTCGCCAGCAGGAACTTGGGGAACAAAAAAGCAAGGTTGCCAGTCAGTATTGCTACTCTCATTTTTAATTTGCTACTCTCACTTTTAAGTTTGGGGAAATAAGTTAAGAATTTTATCTAAAATACATTCAGTTAATAAATAATCATTGAGCTAAAAAAAAGTCAATAAAGAGCAAGAACTTGGTTTTAGTGACATCACGTGTACTCATCTTAATGGCTAATATTTTAAGTACAGTATCTTTAAAAAGTAGCACTGAGTGGATAAAGAAGAAAAAAGCTTATAATTACCTTCCTGCAAATTTTAGCTTTAGATACTAGGTTTTCCAAACTTCATGACCATGCCCTTTTGTATTCTCTTTGAGATGACACTTGGGGGCAAAAATATAAAATGGAAAAAAACCATAGATAAATGTTTTCCTTCCAACAGAAGCCATTGTCGTGGACGTGAACCCCTTTCTACACTGTGTGATTCCAGACTTCATCCAAAGCCAAGATTTCTTGGAAGGACTTCAGAAGGAACTTTTGAACTTAGACTTCCATGAAAAATATAATGATTTATATAAGTTCCAGCAGGTATTTATGCCCATCACATTAGTTCTTCCACCTCAGAAATTCAGTATCTATAAAATTATTCAATACCTTTAGGCTTGAGGTTTTAGACTGTGTTTGCCTTGGAGGGTCCTTGCCTTGTCATTGTTAAAAAAAAGTCCCTTCATTTAACATAAGCTTACTATTAACTATGTGTGAGGTGCTGTTTATTATATGGGAGTCTTTGACAGTTCTTGCTCTGTAAGACTTTAAAATCTAAAGTAACAAGAGTGATAGTAATTGTGATAGAGATGGTCAAGAAATACTTTAAACCAATAAGTAAGTACGTTATAAGGAAAGAGATTAAGTACATTTTTGGGAGTGGTATGATGAAGAGAGTTGTACACTGGAAGATATTAACCATTTAAAAAAAATTTTGAGTTCGTATCTTTTTTTTTAAGGTGGCTTGATGTACTCCAGTATGCTCTGTAGTGTAGTATGTTCTGTGGAGAGTTAGAGTCATTATTTTTTTGGTGGACAATTTAATTTGGCAGAAAAGACTTATCTAGAAATCAAGGCTGGTTTTCCTACTCTTAGAAGACAGGGCCTAGTCTAGGTGTAGATCCCCAGTGTGAGGGGGATATCTCTCAGTACACGGAGTATATCACTTTTGAAATTCCATAAACCTCAGGGACATAAGCACTTAAAATTATAAAAATTAAAAAGATGAATTATTTTGTTTTTCTTTGCATTTTCCCTTTGATTTCTTTTTATCTGAGATGAGAGTACGTAATGGGATTTCTCTCTTGCTCTTATTCTTACTTTTACACTAAAGCTGATTTGTGTGGCCAGCTGGTTGTGTCCCCTGTACCTCTGTCTGTCTTTTGGGCCATGCACACATTACTGAATTAGTCTGGTTAAATACAGGAATGATGTGACTCTTGTAATTCAAAAAATCTAATGAAAATTCGACTGACTTTCATAGTAAGGATGCATAGGTTAACTAAAAAACACAATTGTTTGCCTTTGTAATTATATCAGCTTTGGTAATATGAGGCCTCTGATTGATTTAGGGTTAAATGCATCTCTGATTACTTAAATTGAGAAATCAAAGTGGTTTTTACTTAATGCAATTTTATAGACGAAAATACTTCCAAATGTGAAGTCAATGAGAAGCAAAATAATAAAAAGGGCCCTGGATGATTTAAAAAAAAGAAGCAGCCATTACTTTCCATTCACATTAGTGCTTGGTGGACCTCTGCTTTGAAGGATTTTTATTTTGTTTTAGGTTTTGTTTTTAACAATGCTCTCTTTGGACTAGATCCCTTCGTCCTAAGACGGTCACATAAAACTTGTTTTCAATCTTGTGTCCCTTCAAACTTTGTCTTTACCCCTTTTTCTTTGCGGTATGAGTTGACTTGATAATTGGGTCTCTGACATCTTCCAACTCCTCTAAACAATTTTGTCATTAGGAGTTGCCCAATAGTCTATATTTTTCAAAATAAGCCTTATTGAGTATACTTTATGCCATGCTAAGTGCTTTATATTTATTAATTCATAATAATTAACATAGCATTCATAATATGAATATTTACATTCATAACATCTTCATAATAATCTTATGAATGAGGTACCTTACTATTCCTGTTTTACAGATGAAGAAACTTTGTCAGTTTTTCCTTCTCTTGTAGATTATTCCCTTCAACATACAAAAAAGAGCTGTTTTTCTTAACAAAAATAAATGCTGCCTTAGCCTAATTTTCTCTTTCAACTAAAACTATTCCTCTTTTGCTCTTGACAGTAAAACACCTTATAAAAGTTCACTGTACTGTCTCAAATTCCTCACCTCCCATTTTCTGTTAAACATACTTTAATCAGGCTTTCACTTCTACCACTTGATTGAAACATTTGTGAAGGTCACTCAGAATCTCCAGGTTAGTAAATCTATGCTACCTTCATTTCGCACCAGGATGATTCTGCTAGCATATTAACAACTCTCCCTGCTTCTACCCTTGCCCACCTACACAACCACAGCCTTTGTGTTTTGTTTTTTTTTAATGTAGACAGGCTCAAGAGAATTGAAAATGTGCTCACATAAAAATGTATACACGAGTGTTCATGGTAGCATGATTCATAATAGCCAAAAAGTAGAGACAGCCCAAATGTCCATCAATAGAAGAGTGGATAAACAAAATGTGACATATCCATATGTAAAAAAACCAACCAAACCAAACCCATTGCTGTTGAGTCGATTCCACCTCATAGCCACTCTATAGGACAGAGTAGAACTGCACCATAGGGTTTCCAAGGAGCGGCTGGTGGATTTGAACTGCCGACCTTTTGGTTAGCAACTGTAGCTTCCCATAGCTCTTAACCACTGCACCACCAGGGCCATAAAAAGGAATGAAGCACTGACATGCTACAACACGGATGAGCCTTTAAAATATTATGTTAAATGAAGAAGCCAAAAACAAAGAGCCACATATTATATGAAATGTCCAGAATAGGCCAAATCCATAAAGACGGAAAGTAGATTAGTAGCTGATATGGAAAAATGGGGAGTTAATGAGTGTGGGGTTTCCTTTTGGGGTGATAAAAATGTTCTGGAATTAGATAGTGATGGTGGTTTCACAACCTTGTGAGTAAACTAAAAACCACTAAATTGTACACTTTAAGATAGTTAAAGTGGTGAAATTTATGTTATGTGAATTTTTACTCAAAATGTAAGTGGGATCATGTTTCTGTGCTCAGAATCTCCAATGGCTTCCCATTTCTTTAGTAAAAGCTAAAGTACTTAGAATAGCTCTAAGGCTTATTACCTCTTTGGCCTTGTCTACTGCTCTTCCCTTCACTCTCTCTGCTCCAGCCACATAGCCCCCTTGCTATTTCTTGAATAGGCTAGGCGTGCTTCACACTGAGGGCTGTGAATCCTCTGCCTGGATATTCCTTTGGCATACTTCCCAACCTCCTTCAAGTCTTTGCTTCATCTTAGTGAAGTCTACCCTAATTATTTACAATTGCAAACACCCACCAATTCTCATACTTCCAGTCCCTCTTATCCTGTTACATCTTTTTTTTTTTTTCTTATGTACTTATCACCTTCTTGTGTACTAATAACCTAGTTTTTATCTTTATTGTCTATCTCCCTCAACAAGAATTTACACTGCACTGTAGTAACTAAAGTATTTGTTGAATTAATGAGGCACAGAGAGGCTGAGTAACTTGCCCAAGTCATACAGCTGCCAAGTGGAGGGATCCTGTATCAAACATGGGCAGTTTGGCTTCAGAGTTCAGACTCTCAACCACAATGCCAGGGTTCTCACTAAACTACTCTCTGCGTGTCTAATATATGAAAGAAATCCTGTTTTTCTCCCTTCATGATCAAGTCTGATGATTTACAGAAGAGAAGAGAGCCTCACATCACTGCTTTAAGGTAAGCAACTAGCCATGTTTGTTGAGTGCCTAACATGTGCCAGGCAGGGTAGCAAGCACTTTAAATGTAGTGTCATATAGTCTTTGTAGACCTTATTATCCCTATTTTATAGAAGAAGAAACAACCTCTAAGAAATTAAGTAATTTCTTCAAGATTAATCAGTGGCCATCAAGTCAATTCCAACTCATGGCCACCCCATCCATGTGTGTCATAGAACTGTGCTCCATAGGGTCTTCAATGGCAGATATTTCAGAAATAGATTGCCAGGACTTTCTTCCAAGGCACCTCAGGGTAGACTTGAACCTCTCTCCTTTTGGTTAGCAGCTGAGCGCACTAACCATTTTTACCCCACAGGGACTCCTCTTCAAGGTTACCTAACTGAAAATTGAGAGAGTTAGGATACAAACCCAGGTCTGTCTGATTCCAAGGCCCAAGTTCTCAATGATAAAATGTTCAACCTTTTTAGTAATCAAGGAAACACAGATTAACACTGGAGATACCATTTTTCACATGTTAGGTTGGCAAATGCTAAAAACCAAAGCCTGAGTATTGACAAAGGTATAGAAACCTTTATACACTGCTGCAGTCTTTCTTGGAAGGTGGTTTTGAAAGATGTATCAAAACCCTTAAAATTATGTATGTCTTTTTGTAGAGTAATTCCACTTATAAGAATTTATCCTAAAAAAATAAGGATGTGCTCAAAGATTTCACCACAAGATTGTTGTAGTGTTGTTCATAATGGTGAAAAATACATTCAAATTAAACGGCCACCCATTGAGATTTACATAAATAATGGTATATAACATGAAGTGGAAAACTATATAACCATTAAATATGTATATGAATTTTAATACATGAATATGGTAAAATTATGCCATATTTAATCAATTTAAGATATATAGTAATGCTTTTTTACATTTTGACATCTCTGAGATCCAAATGCCTCCCATATTCACGGTTGTGTCATATTTTAATTGACTTTTTTTTTTTCTTAGTGACATATATAAAAAGATGGTATTATCAAAGGCACCTTAGATTTGATGAAATATATTTCTGTCAGAGAAAAAAGTTAAAACAGCATACACAGTCTGATCCCATTAAAAAACAAACAGATATATTTGGATATCTATGTGTACAAAGAAAAAGACTTGGAAGCATGGACTATTTAACTCTGGCTGGTAGGATTACAGATTTTTTTTTTTAACAGTTTCTTTTTACTTACATAAGATGTTTTCCCAATTTTTCTACAATGAGCACAGGTTGCTTTGTAATACCTGCTTGTTTTTAATGTACATGGTACAAGTTATTTTTTTTACTCTACATTTCCGTATATGGTGGAAGCCTGCACAGGTTACTTCTAAATCCTGAAGCAGTGCTGATGTGATAACAGTAACTTAGAATATTTTGTATTTATTTAGACCTTTTTTTTTTTTTTTCCATAAAAAGAGATTAGCATGCTTAATTATCTCACTATCTCACAACACCCCTGTAGTAGGCATTTCATATGAGACTGAGTTACATTCCACACACAAAAGGTAATAGTCAGGTGGTAAAAGAGTGGAATTCCTTGATCATTACAGAAAACTGCTGATCTTTTTATTTCCCAGTTGGGTTCTGTGATTTCTTTCATGAACATAACTAATAAATGGGAGCAATGACAGGAAATAAGCCTGTTTTGTGACACTTTTATAAGATGAGTAGGAGAAGAACTTTTTATAGAATAAACTTGTGGAAGCTGGTATTACCAGTAAAAGAAGGATTTAAGGCTTTGATAAAGCATCAAGACTTTGTAAAAATGTTTATCACCCATTATTATCTGAAGTCTGGTTCAGCAGTCTGCTTTAAAAGTTCCATGGCACTTCTGGTTGGACTGACTGAGCACAATATTTTATGGAATTTTTTTGTTTGGGTAATATAGTATAAAAAGGTCGTTGGTCATAAAATCTTGGGGATCAACCTGGAGGCTTCATGTTTAGTTATGAACAACAAGGTTGCATTTTATGGGAATTTCAACTATGTACAATTGGACTAGGATGATCCAAAAAATATTCATCAAATCTCTTTATGTGCAATATTGGAACTAATATAAATCCTTTAAAAATATTTTTAATTCACCAAGGGTAGCATTTCAAAGTTGATCGGCTAAGTGTGTTGTACGTGGTGTTAAAGAGATTTCTACACACAGAACCATTTTAGCAGGTACACGGAAATGCCCACCATCTTTTATTGGTATCCTGTTAGCATTAGTATTTCTATGAAAGGTTTTACTGATTACCATGCAGTTTGTTTAATATTCATCATTATTGCAATTTACAGTGTCACCCAGGTGTCCATTAAATGGTGGTGCTAGTTATTCAGACATGCTGAAAAACATGTCTGAAAATCAGTAACTTTGAAATGAAACTTTGGTGTAAATTGTTATGAAGAAGGCCAAACCACTGCCATGATAGGCTATACTATAAGTGTGTTGTTGTTAGTTGTCATTGAGTTGATTCCAACTCCTGGCGACCCCAAGTGTGCAGAGTAGAACTGCACTGCATGGAGTTCTCAAGGCTATGACCTTTTGGAAGCAGATCTCCAGGCCTTACTTCCAAGGTGCCGCTGGGTGTTTGAACTGCCAACCTTTTGTTTAGTAGGCCAGTGCTTAACCATTTGTACCACCCAGGGACTCCTTACTGTAATTTAGGAGAAAAAAAATACTGAGAAAATAAAATGGATGTTAAATATAGGTTTACATTTCTCTAGGAGAATTAGTCTTAAACCGAGGAACGTTCTCAGGAATAGATCTCTTGAATAAAATATGACTTGCAGAAAGAAATAGTTGTGGCATAGATCCAAGCAGAGCCCACACTATGGTATAATAGTTATCTGTTATTTACATTTCTAGGAAAGTTCTATTTGAAGATTTCAGGGCCTGGCTTTCTGACATTTCTAATATTGACCTGGACTCAACCATTGATATGTCCTGTGCAAAGTATGAATTCACAGGTAAGGAAAGATAGCATCAGTGTAGCAAAATACTGGACTATATGTCCTTCCATAGCACTAGGAGCCTCCTGATGAGGAGATCTGAATTCAGACAATATAGACGTCTACAGTGTAAACCACAGTAGTTCCTTCCCCAACCCTGCCCCTTTCTTTTTTTCAGAGGTGTCTCCTGTCACCAGTTTAGGGTGCATCCTTCCAGTTCCCTTTCTGAGCATATAAATCAGATAAATGTCTTTTTTGAAAGCAATTAAGTTTGGTTTTTCATCTAAAAGGAAAACTGGTTTTTTTTACTAGATAAATTTTTTTTTTTAGGTTTACTGTCATACACTGTCCTAGGGATGGACCAACTTTTTTAATCCAGGGAACTTTAATAGCTTTTTAAAACTTAATGGAAATAGACAAAATAAAGAAATATGTAAATCCACAGCATACATATAAATCCAGAACACATTAAATTCGAACTTTTCAGTGTCTGTGATCGGTAATTTACCATTTGATTTCATTTACCAATTTCTACAGTAAAAAGGAAATTTGTGGGCTCTTGCTGACTCCTTGCATTTCTGCTAAAGCGGCCTTCACCCACAAACTGATCTATCTTGACTTCATCTTTCACAGCGCAGTTTTTATCTTGACACTGTTCAGTTATCCTGAGTTCTGCGCCCTTTTTTTTTTTTTTTTTTTTTTTCGGTTCTGGCTTATTAAAAAAAAGAGAAAGAAAGAATTTGTAGCACTCACAGGTGGAGAAAACCCACCTCCTCCTGCCCTGATTGCAGAGTCGCTGGAGAGGAAAGCAGGGCAGGGTCACTTGGTCCCAGCGTATTTTCTTTGGGGCTCATTCACCAGGAATAAACAGACACATCGCAGTGAGTTTCCTGGCAACTTTGCTCTTTAAACAGAGGAGAATTCCCACTCAATCGCCTCTGCTTACAGGCTTTCATGCCTAAAATTGTTAAAAAATTAAGTGTTCCATGTAGCGTTTTTGCCTTTTCTCTTTGCACATGATGAAGGCTGTCATGGCGAGTGACCTCCTTGTGCACGGCAGATTTCAGCCTCCCAGAGCCAGGCTGTTCTTCCTGGGCCAACTTTTTGAGGACAGCTTGGTGGTACATATGAAAAGTCATATTGTATAATACCTCTTTTAACGTTATTATTATTTTTTTCTTTTTAATTTGAAAAAATTTCAAACTTACAGAAGAGTAGCAAGCATAGTAGAAATAATATTTCTCCTGTACCACTTGAGAGTAGGTTTCAGACAGGATGCCCCATGACCCCTGAATACTTAAGTAGTTACCTACAAGGACATTTTTCTGCATTACAGTAGTAAACCCCCCAAATCAGGAAATTAGCATTGATACATTATTACCCTCAAACCCACAGGCCCTGTTCACATTTCATCATTTGGTCATTTATGACAAAAGGACCCAGTCCAGGATGGCACACAGCATTTGGTTGTCATGTCTCTTTAAACATCAGTCCAGAACTGTTCCTCAGTCTTTCCTTGATTCTGATAATCTTGACGCTTCTGAAGATTTATAGTCGAGTTATTTTGTAAAACTTTCCTCAGTTTGGGGTTGTCTGATGTTGCCTCATGATTAGATTTCTGCGTGCCCATTACTAGTGATAGTAACTTTAATCTCTTGATTAAGGTGATTTCTGTCAGATTTTTCTACCTTAAAGTTGCTCTTTTTCCCTCTGTAAGTTTTTTGTGGGGAGATACTTTGAGATTAGGTAAATATCCCATTTCTCATCAAACTTTGATTCACTTGTTTTGGCATCTATTGATGTTTCTTGCTAAATTATTATGATGGTTCCAAATAGTGATTTTCTAATATGGTCATTTCTTTCCCCGTTTATTCTTTCCCCATTTGTTCATTCATTCATTCATTTATATCAATATGGACTACTATTTATGTGATGAGCTATTATCCGTTACTATTATTATATTGGTGTTCATGTTGTCCCTGTTGGTCAAGGGGAGCCCCTTCAAACTAACTTTTGTGTCCTTTTGATATGTCCCCATCATTCATTGAGAACTTTCTTACTTTCTGGCAAAACAAGATTTTCCAGGCTCATCTTGTATTTTTCATGCCCTAGATCTGGAGTCGGCCATTCTTCCAAAGAAACCTGGTTCCTTTTTAGTTAAGAATGACACTTAATTTATGTTAATGGGGAAGAACAACTCAGAAAAGGAGGATAAGAATGGACGCACAACTTGAAGAATGTAATCAGTGTCACCGAATTGTACATGTAGAAACAGTCGAATTGGTGTATGTTTTGCTGTGTATATATATTCTCAACAACAACAAAATAAAAAGTAGAATGATACTTAAAAATCAAGATTTGGACTCTAGGTATCTGTGGTATTGGGGCGTCACTGCTCCCCAGACCCTTTTAGTGGAAAGAGTGAGCAAATATATATGTATATACATACACACATACGTGCATATACATACATTTATATGTGTATGTATTTCTATTTCTCTGTATATATATACACATGTATATAAACTGAATTCACATTGATTTCTTCAATTCCAATTCAACAACACAAGGTTCATTCTAGATTTCTTTTTTTCAGTATTTGTGATTCCATTCTCTGACAGTGAGAAACCTGGCTCCTATTATCTTCAGTATATTTGTTTATTGGCACAGTCCTTCCACGTGTAATCAATTTCGGCTCACTGCAATCATTTCCTCCCTTCTCAACTCTGCATGGATGCCAACCTTTCTCAGCCCCACTTAATGGCTTTTAAGAGTTTAGTTCAAGAAATTAATGGGGACAAGTACAAAAAGATCCATGTACAAGAATGCTCATTACAGCATTCTTCATAATTGCCAAGAAATGGAAACAACTTAATTACAAATAGGGAATCAATAAAGGAGGGGGAAGGGAAGTATAAATGCACAGTCCATATAGTAGAATAACTATGGAGCCATTAAAAGTAATATCAAGTGTGTACTCTGTAATAAAAAAAAGCAGGCCACAACCACTGTGTAAGATGCCATTTTTTAATTTAATTTTATTTTTTGTTGTTGAGAATATACACAGCAAAACATAAACCAGTTTAACAGTTTCTACATGTACAATTTAGTGACATTGATTACATTCTTCAAGTTGTGCAACCATTCTTACCCTCCTTTTCTGAATTGTTCCTCCGTCATTAACTAAACTCACGGCCCCCTAAGGTTCTTACCTAATCTTTCGAGTTGCTACTGTCAATTTGATCTCATACAAATAGTTCTTAAAAGAGCATAATGCTCAAGGCAGACATTTTTTACTAGTTAAGCTTAACTATCGTTTGGTTGTAAGAAGACTTCAGGGGATATTTTTGGTTTAAGATTTAAAGATTATCTTAGGGCAGTAATTTCAAGGGTTCATCCACCCTCCATGGCTCCAGAAAGTTTAAAATCCATGAGAATTTAAAATTCTGTTTTGCATTTCCCCCCTTTTGATCAGGATTCTTCTATAGAATCTTTGAACAAAATGTTCAGTAATGGTAGCTGGACACCATCCAGTTCTTCTGATCTCGTGGCAAAGGAGGCAGTTGTTTGTGGAAGGAATTAACCACCATTTCCTCCTCCTATTCCTGATTCTCCTTCCTTTGTTGCTCCCGGCAAATAGAGACCAATTGTTGTGCCTTGGATGGCTGCTTGCAAGCTTTTAAGACTCCCAGGAATTATGCAACAAACTAGGAGGTAGAACAGAAGCACTAAAAACAGTATTAGGCCAGTTAACTGGAATGTCCCATCAAACCATGACCCTAAACCTCCAAAGCAAAAATGCCATTTTTAAGTGCACATGTATGTAGGGAAAATACTGTTAGTAATTATCTCTGGGTTTATAAATATGTGTTCTTCAGAGTTTCCTATTTGGACTGAGTTTTATTTCTGTAATTACAAAAGAGGAGAAGCAAGTGTCACTGTAAAGCTGGAGGGCATGAATGTCAGAGGGACTGACATTAAATGTAGAGTCAGACGTCAGCTGCACACTGTTTGCACAGAGCTTTAAGGTGTGCATTAAACTGTTGCAGATGCCCTGCTCTGCCATGATGATGAGCTGGAAGGGCGCCGGATCGCCTTCATTCTCTACCTGGTTCCTCCCTGGGACAGGAGCTTGGGGGGCACCCTGGACCTGTACAGCGTTGATGGTAAGATTAGTACAAGACCTTCAAAGCCAGTGGCCACTTCTGAATTAAAACTGAGTTGATTCAGCATCACCATTCTTATACATAATAGCTGTGCTCCTCAAACGAGATGGAAGCCATTCATTACAGTGACTGCCTCGGGAGGGATTAATGCCAGCCCTGACAACCACCTCCCTGAGTTATACTGGACGTAATCATTACTGCAGACATAAATTAGATTGGATTGAAGATAAGGAATACTGCTTCTGAATACTGATCATGGAAGGGTAGAAAGCATGTAAAGCTGCCTCTGGCTATCAACCTGCCAGAACCCCTTCATTTGACAGGAAATCAGGGTTTTTTGGAATGATTTACACCAGAGGTTGACTCCAGAAAACTTTTAGTGCTTCTCTCAGCCCTCATCAATAATGGCTGGTATAGTAAGAACAGATGTCACCTAGCAGAACTAGCAAGTAGGAGTGAACCAGATGGAAGGGGGTGGTACTTTAGGATCTGAAAGGAACGTCTAGATACCTCAGAAATTTGAGAATTGTCAAGAGTGCAATGAGGTGACCTGGAAGTGGTTAATGATAACGAATTGCATTCATGGATGTGTTCTCTCCTGGTGCAGAGCACTTTCAGCCGAAGCAGATTGTCAAGTCTCTTATCCCTTCATGGAACACACTGGTTTTCTTTGAAGTGTCTCCAGTATCCTTTCACCAGGTAAAGATTGTCAGCCACAAAGATACAGAGTACTAAGGATCATGGTTTTTAAAGTCACCCATTATCTAAATATGATAGTTTCCAGTCAGACTTGTTGTTTTCTCGCCTGGTGTGAAGGATCCTAAAGTTAAGGTGCCTTGGCTGGTAATTGCCATCCTTATTCCTTGTGTTGATGTGCTGCTGGTCTCGTTCTTCCAGGTGTCTGAAGTCCTGTCAGAAGAAAAATTACGTTTGTCTATAAGTGGCTGGTTTCATGGCCCTTCATTGACCAGGCCTCCCAACTACTGTGAACCCCTCATACCCCGGAGCCCTCACATCCCTCAAGATGTAAGGATAAATTCCTGCTGTTGCAGGGGGTTCTTATTTTAAGAGCGATAGCATATCATTTGTTACCTGACTTTAAAAGTAGCTAATCCTGTTAATGAGACTAGACTTTGAGCTTGCCCTAATATGAAATGACGGAAGAACAAAAGCTATAGGAATTATTAACTCACCTTTTGCATCTGCTGCTTCTTTGTAAGCATGAAATTTTGTATGAATGGATCAACCCTATTTATCTGGACATGGATTACCAAATTCAGATTCAAGAAGAGTTTGAAGAAAGATCTGAAATTCTCCTAAAGGAGTTTCTTAAGGTAGGCCAGAACACCATGTTTGGTCTGTGTCGCTTGTCTGACACACAGTCTTGTTCCTAGATGGATGATTAGGCATCACTAAGAGAGTTTTGGCTTTTATTTTTTGTTTTGTTCCTGACTGGAATGTTTATGTAGTTCTCTTTTTCAGATAAAATATAGAAATCATGCTAGTAGCTAACACTGGTATCACTTGTATGCTTAGTAGGTTAAGAGTCCCTTGGGTATTCCCCAGTTCTCTAGAATCTTAATGGTGAGCACACACATAATCACACACAGAGGCCTCCATACAGAGAGGGAGCTCCGGTTAGTTGGTGGTGGTGGTGGTGGTGTGAGCCATCCAATTGATTCTGACTCATAGCCACCTGATATGACAGAGTAGAACTGCCCCATAGGTTTCTTAGGCTGTAATATTTACAGGAGCAGATTGCCAGGTCTTTTCTCCCACAGAGCCACTGGTGGGTTTCAACTGCCCATCTTTCAGTTAGCAGCTGAGCATTTAACCTTTGCACCACCAGGGCTCCTTTCTGTATAGTTAACTGTTCTGTTTATTTGATGACTGTAGTGCCTATTACTACTTTTAATAATAGATTACTATTTGATCAACATCTGTAAATGAATGTTTGACAATGATGAGGCAGCATGTTACAGTGAAAAGAGAGTTAGATCAGAAGGCAGAAGACATGTATTATGTCCTGGCTCTGGTTTTATTAACCCGAGAACATCAATAAATCGGCCTTAGCATCTACTTCTTTATCAGTTAAGCAGGGATAATACCTGCCTAGCATGTCTTGAAGAGTTGTGAAGACCAGATGAGATAATGGGTGCTGGTATGGTGCTTCATGGTTGACCCTGGATCCCCTGGAATCCTAGTCCCAAGAGCATTTCTTCTATACTGTCTCCTGTCTTGGAAGTTTGTAGCTGACATTAGCATAGTGAAGAATTTGGGAAGTATTATAGTAAACAAACTCATTTAACCCTATTTAATTCAGCTTCCTTAAACCATGCTGTGGATCCTCTTTCCCACATTTACAGCTGATAGGACTAATGTTTTCAGAATACTCTGGAAAAACTCTGCCTTAAATAAATGTAAAGGCTCATATGGAGAATATTGCAATAGATTAACCAGCTTCTTGTACTATACTTGGCTTTTTAAATGGAGAATGCTGATTAAATGAGAGAATGAGCTGGGGCCTAAAGAATACTATTATCCAGAGATTTTCAGTGTAATAGCATTGACTGTGTTGTTGTTAGGTGCCATTGAGTCAGTTCTGACTCATAGCGACCCTATAATGCAGTTTAATTTTCTTCCTCACATCTTGTGAGGTAAAGAGTTTATATTATGATTTTCATTTTATAAATGCAGGGACTTGAGAGATCTAGCAATTTGACATAAGATATACAGCTTCTTAAGGGAATGGCCCAAATTGAAACTTGTGTCTCTTGGCTGAAGCATGCTAATGATTTATCCAGTGTTGCCTGGGCTTTTCCATATCAGGAGGAGGAGATCCTGTGTGTGAAAGGGGTGAGAGTCAACTGGACCTTTTAGGAACCAGCCAGATAGATGTCCTGCAGAGGTGCTACTTCTGCAAGACCAGTGTGGGATCATAGGAAAAGTGGCTAACTGCTTCTTTATTTGCTCATTTTCCAGCCTGAGAAATTTGCAGACATCTGTGACGCTTTGGAGAAAGGAAATGTGGAATGGAGCAGCCGAGGTCCTCCTAACAAAAGGTAGAGCCCATCATTCAAGACATGTGCCATAATGCTGTTTTGTTGCCAAGGACAACCAGTAGCAGGCCCTAACAAAATCTCACTATTGTAACAATCTGTACCCTAGTAAGCTATGCCAAAATTTGGGGGAGAGAGGTACAAAGCTAATGATCAGCTTTTACTTCTTGAGTAATTTTACATCTGTGGCTTTGATGAACAACTCAACATTGCTGCTTTTTTAGGTTTTATGAGAAAGCTGAGGAGAATAAGCTTCCCGATGTACTGAAAGACTGCATGGAGTTATTTCGCTCCGAAGCACTGTTCTTGCTGCTCTCCAACTTCACAGGCCTGAAGCTTCACTTCTTGGCCCCTTCAGAAGAAGATGAGATTGAGGCCGAAAGAGAGGGAGAAGCAGCATCTGCTGCTGAGAGCACTGAAGAAGGGACCAGCCATAGCTCCTCAGAGTCAGAGAATAATCTGGCCGCCGTCAGCAACACCAGCCAAGAGAGCGATGACCAGACAGACTCGGAGCCAGAGGGAAGCGAAATAAAGAAAGGTAAGTTGTTAGGATTTGTCGTTACTGCCATTAAGCAGTCAACATCTGATGATTTATTCACTCAACAAGTATTTCTTGAGCACCTACTGTATGCTAGGCCCTTTTACAGGAGCTGGAGAACAAAACACACAAGTTCTCGGTTCTTCTGGCTACATTCTAGTAGGAGAGGCCTGAGATTAAACATACACACGAACAACAAGAAAATACCAAATGGCGGTAAGTGCTATGTGGAAAGTGTTGATAGGGTGATGTGTGAAGGGATGACTGAGTGGTCTCTCCGGTGAATGGGCAATCTGGAAAAGCGTCTCTGAGACGATGTCACTTAAGCTCAGGTCTGAGTGGACGAGAAGGATCTGTGCGAAGGGCAGTGTAGGCAGGAAGAACAGCTGGTACATTTATTAGGCCAAGAATTGTACAGATCGTGGGAAGGAATGTGACTTTCCTTGCCTAAAATTACTCTAAAATCCAAGAACATAAAGGAGAGGAAGGTTAGTGACTCATTTCTGCTACAGACCAATAGCAGCCTAAGAAACACTTGCTTGAATTTGGACAAATTGGTAGAAGGAAATCATTACCAATAGAGGAAGTTTAATCATCTACAAACAAGATGGAAAAGAGACTAGAGGGAATTTAAGAGGTAACACTTTTATGGAAATGTTGGCATCATTAACGGAGCAGCTGCAAATTCAGCTTCGATGTTTCAGCATTTACTAAGTCAGATTAGAAAATCTGCCTCCCGGCTCCTTTCCTCAGTGTTACCATCCTCTCCGCCCACTCTAATTCCTTGAGCAGAACCTTATGCAGTTAGGACAGCAAAGACAAGGGGTGGATAGCTATGGAAACAACCAACAGGTGGAGTGCTAACTGCCAGCAGTGTGGCTCACATTCTGTGGCCTCCAGTCACATCAGTCACCACAGATACTTAGATAAACAACACCCAGGTGGCTTTTTTCATGCTATTCAATACATAGGACAGTCTTTCTTTGAAAGGTTAGTTTTTCTTGATAATTGATATTGGTGTCTATACCTACGGAGGCCTGGTGGTGCAGTGGTTAAGAGCTTGGCTGCCAGCAGTTCAAATCCACCAGGTGCTCCTTTGAAACCCTATGGGGCAGTTCTACTCTGTCGTATAGGGTCGCTACGAGTGGGAATCAATTTGAAGGCAACGGGTTTGGTTTGTTTTTTGGTTATCTATCCCTAGAGCCTAAAAGGAATCAGGATGAAGATCAATGAGGGCTCAGGGGCTTTTTTTTTTTTTTTTTTTTGTATTTGTGCCTTTTTATTCCTTTTTCTTTTTTTTTTAAAGGAGCCCTGGTGGCGCACTGGTTAAAGTGCTTAGCTGCTAACCAAAAGGTCAGCAGTTTGAACCCCCCAGCCGCTCCGTAGGAGACAGATTTGGTGGTCTGCTAGTAAAGATGACAGCCTTGGAAACCCGATGGGGCAGTTCTACTCTGTCCTATAGGGTCGCTGAGTTGGAATCAACTCATCGGCGATGGGTTTGGTTCTTGGTTTATTCTTTTTTTGTTTCATTTTTGTGGGAACCTGCAACTTGGAAGAAAATCTATGTAGACAACCAAAAGAAGGTTTATTCTATTATTGAGCACCAACTACACATGCAAGGCCTTCATTTAAGCAGAAGGAGCCCTGGTGGCACAGTGGTTAAGAGCTCAGGCTGTTAACCAAAAGGTCAGCAGTTCGAATCCACCAGCCGCTCCTTGGTAACCTTATGGGACAGTTCTACTCTGTCCTGTAGGGTCACGGTGAGTCAGAATCAACTTGACAGCAATGGGTTTGGTTTTTTGGTTTGGTCAGTTAAGCACAGTGGGGATATAAAGGTGAATTCGAAAGGTAACTGTGTACAAAATTTACTGTCTTGAAGAAAAGCTATAAAGTCACTGAGATATATAAAGGCAGTGTTAAGTGTTGCACAGCTGGGGCACATCTTGTGAGAGGACTGTGTCAGGATTGATCATTTTAAGGTATCTTTTTTTTAATATTTTAAAAATACATCCATTTTAGAATGGTTGGAAAACAAATAAGCCAAAGGAAAACAATAATCACCTACAGGTGGCCACTGTATATATTTTGGGATATATCTTTCTAGTCTTTTTTTACTATGTATACACGTATACACATAAAAATACGTAACAGGTCTGCACAACCACCTTGGATAGAAAGTCCTTGCCCTCCCCATCCAAAGCAGCATTACCTAGATACGCTTTCTAACATAACATTTCTAGAAGCTTTCATTTGAAGAATATTTCACAGCTAAAAGTTTTGAAAACCACCCTTCTAGTATAATTTTTAATTATTGCAAAGTATTTCATCAAATGGCCTTAACCAATTTTATCAGTTTGTACTCCCACCAGTACTGTACATGATATTTTCCTACTTCCTTAGAAAACTAATTATTCTGTTTTCTTTTCCAACTTTGCATATTCTGTAGGTGAGAATGGCATTTGCCTTCCTTTGATTAATGGTGCATGGTTGTACTTTTTCCCAGTATTTATTGGTTATTTAATTTTTTTTCATGAATTGCCTATCAAGACGTCAGCCTATTTGTTCCTTTGGGATGTTTGTCATTTTCTTACTGTATTGTAAAAATGTTACATATAGGAGTATTAACCCACTGTCCTACATGGTATAATCGTTTGCTTTTTAATTTTGTTCAGCATGTTTTAAATTTTATAAAATGTTTTAATAATAAGGTCTATCTTTGTCTTTCATGGTTTTTGTGGTGACATGGCTTAGAAACCTCTTCCCCTCTCCAAAATTACATAAAATTTCAGGTGTTATTTTTTATTTTTATTTTTTGGAGCTAAATCTCTACTCCATCTGAAATTTATTTTAGCATAAAGAGAGAAATAGATATTCAACTTTTACCCCAAATAGTCAGCCCTAGTAACTTCTGAGTCATTTACAAGACTGAATTAATATATCAGCAGGTCAGCTGAAGGTTGGGGGAAGGGTTTCCCTTTAGTGCTGTGCTGTCCTGGTTCTTATCCCCTTGCAATCTAGCAGTTGTATCAAGGCTAATTTTTTACCTCAGCTAATTTTTCTGGCCCATCTTCTGTTGCGTTTTCTTAGAATCGAATGTTCCCACATGCCATGGGGAACTGAGACGTTGGAAGACTGGTCACTACACTCTAATCCATGACAACAGCACAACTGAATTTGCCCTGGACTTACTTCTCTACTGTGGCTGTGAAGGTAAGAGGGAGAAAGGAAGGCAGTGGAATATTTCCTTTGGAGGGACAGTTTCTCTGGAGTGACTGCTTCTATCTGAACCAAGTAATTAATTTGCCTTAGTGGAGAGCTCAGAACACAGGATCTCAAAGATGGAAGGGATCTTGGAGGTCATGAATTTCAGTCTCCCAACTCAGACTGGGATATATATCGTGACTAGGGTATGGGGAGATGGACCATACCATAACTCTCCCTTAAATACCCCCCATATCTATAGCTTCTGTGGAGTTGGCCTTCTGAATATATTTTATACTTAATTCTCTCTTAATTTCAGTTCTCATTTAATGTTGATTGAAATAAGCCCAAACTCCAGTTTAGCTGTCTCAGGAAATTAGACCTCTAAGGGAAAGGAAATCCTGATAAGCCAGAAGGTAAATTTAGGTTCACAAGTCATAGAGCTGGTCACTACTAAACTCCCAGATCTCCCCATTTTAAGGAGCATGGTTAACCGTGATTTAAGCAGACAATGTAACTCTTGCCGCAAGAGCTTTCTGACTGCTGTTTGTTTTCCCCTTGTAAGGCTGGGAGCCAGGATATGGTGGCTTCACTTCCTACATTGCCAAAGGTGAAGATGAAGAGGTAAGTTGCTTCTGATAGCAAACTACCCTTTTTAGATCTTGAGGATGCTTTCATTCTTCACAGACTCAATTTTTATGGCCTTCTGCCAGTATCCTTAGTTGATAATTCCATGTTGGTCTGCCTGGCATTAGCTTAATTTCTAGCAGATAATACTCAGCATGGAATAAAGACACAAAAGGAGAGTAATCAGTAAGCATTTGTTTGTCTTATCAGGTCCTAGTGAGAAATTCCAAATAAATTAGGAGGTACAGCATGCATTTCCCATGAATCTTTTAATTGAGCAAGAAATAAATGCATTAGGTAAAATCTTCCTGGGTGTGTGCTGGATTGGGACTTGTTGGAAACATGTCTTGTCTTGACGGCCAGAACAAAAGCTCTTCCCTAGTAAAGGACCTTTCACAGGATTCCCTGCTTCCAGTGCAGTGGTGAATCGTTACAGAAAACGGTGCCAGGCAGCTCTATGTTCTGATGTGTCACTGTATTTGCCTATTTCAGCTGCTAACAGTGAATCCGGAAAACAATTCTTTGGCATTGGTCTACAGAGATAGAGAGACTCTGAAATTTGTCAAGTATATTAACCACCGAAGCTTAGAACAACAGAAAACCTTCCCACACAGAACAGGTTTCTGGGACTTTTCGTTCATCTATTATGAATGACAGGGCTGGACAAAGCTGAACAAAGAAGTAACCTTTCGTCAGTACTGGGAAGCCTTGGAAGCGCTAGCCATGGAGTGAAGGAGAGCTACCTAGTCATCTGTCTCACAGTGTTCTTCAAACTGTTTTGGTTGTCCTTTAATAGGACTCATAAGGATTGTCCTCAACCTAGACCTTGAGCTTGAAGCCAGGTATTTATTTATTGATTAAAAAAAAAGGTTTTATTGTTAACATTCAGTTCTCCATTTTCTATATTGACTTCTTCAGTGACTTTTATTTAATTTTGGTGATTTTTTTTTTTTTATGCTCACAATTGAGTATAAATGACGATTCTGCCCTTCCCAATTACACTGGTTTATAAAGCTACAGAACCTGTAGCTGTTCATGCTGGGCCTTAGAGTTCTGACATGATTTGAAACATTACGCTTCCTCCCATGGCCTCTGGCTTTGTTCCACAGTGCGTCCCACGGCACAGGGTGGACTTGGATGATGTGGATGGAATATGATTCCCTTGGAAAAGGTCTGGTCTTAAAAAAAAACCCACATGGCCAAGAGACTTGTTGGAAGAGGCTGCTTATGACAGGTGTAGTCCTTTGCAGGTGGCTACTGCCTTGCCATCATGGAGTTGTGGCTGCTGTATAACTGATTCTAGGCTCACGTGTGGCTTTCATTTTCCTGAATGCTGTAGGGTCAACTATAGAACTAGTTGCTTTTTTTTATTTTCATTATATATTTTAAGAGACTAAATGCTAAAAAGCCACACTGAAATGCCAAGAGACTATCCTAATTTTGTTAGATCTTTTTTCCTGAACTGTTCCGGGGGTTATATAATAACTACCTGTGAGTGTGTGAGTCTAGGTGTCACTGCATCTTTAGTTGAAAGATGATGTTCAGTGCAAAACAGATCTCACTCCATCCCAACACTGTCTCCCTGTTTCCTTTCTCTTTTACATTTATTTCTAAGCATTGCGGTAGCTTTTAGTTTGGGCTTTGCTGATTAATAGAAAAAGCACTGGACATTTAAACTTCTTACCACCCTTCTCTTTTATCTCCTAAAACTTTGAGTACTGATTCTTTTCTAAAGTTTGTATTTAAATGAAGAGAATGAGTTTCATTTTCAGCCTTTTAGATTGATAGTTACAAAATGTTTTTGATCATGCACCCCACCAGTAAAAAGTGTTTAACATGTACCCCCCCACATATATTTTACTTATAAATTTTACATGTGTACTAACAGTCCATGCTATAAAACAAACACTAAATTTTAAAGGCTGAGACAAAAAGAAACACCCATAACTAGTTCTGACAGTGCCTTCCCACACCCTAACGGACCATTGTACACACACACCATTTTGGAGACCACAGTTTTTTAACAAGTGTAGTGACATAAGTGGGATTATAAACACATAACTAATGGTTGAAATTTCAAAGCTTGCCCCTTCTTTTAAGTTCCTGCAGAGTCAAGGTCAACACTATAATATTACTTTCACTCACTTGCATTCTGATGTGTTTTCATGAGTGGGAGAGAAGGGTGAGGTTATACTTAGCACTCTGTCCGTGGCTTATAATCCTGGGAAGGCCCAGGGGACAGTGTGGGGCAGGTGAAACCATCGTGTGTGCCAAGCTTGGAAAACCATTTGAGACTCATGGCTGTAGGTAACATATCTAAAGAAAACATCCAACTCTCCCAATTCTGGAGCCGAGTTTAAATCTTAGCACACTACGTAAACGTTAAAATGTTCCTCCTTTATCTCAGTGTTTACGGCCTGTCAACTCAGCAGGCTCTTCTATACACTGAAAAAGGGATTTGGTGTCTGAGGGGAGAGAAGCCCTGAGAGCCGACTCTGCATGCTCCGTTGCATCATCTACAGCAGCAGCTCTTCGAGTATGGAGGATGGTCGAAGTGCAGGCCTCTTTTCTACACTGAAGATACGCAGGGGCTGAGAAACTGCTTTTCCTTCGTACTTCATCTTGATTACTTTTTAGGACCTGGAGCCGATGTCAGCAACTATTAAATGGCAAAGAGGAGCTAAAACATGGGCATTTTATTTATACCTCTTTCAGGTAAAAACTACAATGTTCGCCTTCGCAGTATATGGCATCTTTCCCTTAATTCTCAGTGAACTGCTAATCCTCCAATCCTCCAATTCTTGTAACTCCATTTATAGAAAAGGGAGATTTTTACTTTCCAAAGACAACAGCTCCTCCCCAATTATGTAAATATACTTATTGTGAAGAATTCAACATGTACGAATAAAAAGTAAAGTCACCTGGAAATCCCACTATCCTGTGACAACCACTCTGGTAGCTTTGCAGTGGATCATCTTGGCTAGACTGAAGTATGTTTCTCAAGACTCCCTTTCCTATGTTTCTGGTTAGGGTGAATCACAAATTCTTGTGCAAGTTTGGAGATCCCAATGAAGTAGCAGCCATTTTGTAGCTCACACACATTGCAGCTCATCTGCTGGCTCTCCTCCTTGGCTTGAGGCAGGACCTGGGCCTGCAGCCGCTCCACCTCACCCTGGATCTTCCTTCAGCGTCTCTAACTCGCATCAGCTGTAGGGGTTTAGTTTTGTGATGCAGGGGCTAAGCTTCTGTAAGACACCCAAACCATCAAAGTCAGGGGCAACAAGAACTGACACAGATTTCAGTACGTCCTCCTGGGCTCCACCTCATGCCTGTGGGTTTCAGCTTGTTCTTGTTCTCCAAACTTTACATCTCCTTTTCCTGACTGCCTGTGCTGTGTGCGTCAAGCTCCAGCATCAGACATGGAGACACAGCTTTTCCGAGACTACTTAACCAAATCCCCCAGGGATCTAAGGTCACATCTCCACAGCAAATCCCCTTATATGTTAATCATGATGAAAATTAACATTAATAGGAAGAAAAATAAAATGTTTAAAAGAACCCTATAAATAATCTAATATCAGTCACTCATTTTAAAGATGTGGAAAATGAAACCTGGAAAAGGAAAATGCTGTTAGGTTTTGAATCTGGCTTTCTGCTGCTCAGAGATAGCCTCTCAAACTCCACTGAATGGCCACAGATACATTTATTCCTAGAAAACTGAAAAAAACTCAGAGCTTGGGCTACCGCTCCCAGACCACTCTTGCTGCAGCCAGAAACCTTCTGGCTGCAGTATCTTCCACACCATCTTATACTTACTTACCACTATTAAAACTGAGGAAATGCAAACCTGTTAAAAGGGTTCTTGATAAAGACGTAGTAACGTGATGCCAGAGGCGGGCTCTCCAGCCATCACGGAACTGGACAGTCCTACAAAAACATTCCTTCTCTGATGCAGTTAGTCCACAGACAATTCTGAAACTACCTGGTAATTGTCCCTGTGGCATCATTTTAGGAAAGCAGAATTCTGCACCACACAAATAAAAGGATGACTCAGGAGCGACAGCATGTAATGCGGGCAGGGGCAAGATGAGACAGAGGTAAAATGCAGAACAGCAGGCTGCAAAGGGTGTCTTACTGTAGTTTCAATACGAAATAATTCTATGATCACAGAACTCTGAATTTGCAGAATTGCTTCTTATAAAATTTGAAAACATTAATACCAATATGAAAATAATTCTTGTAAACACCTCTAGGGTTACATATATAGTTGTAAAGTTCCCAGTTCTTTGATTTCTGGAGGTACTGCCAAGCTTACTGAGGACGGACAACCCCAGGTAGAGCAGCCAACACTGTTCCATGCTTTCTGTGATCGAGGCTTTGGCTGAGCACTGCTGGAGGATAAAGCTGATGCAGCCCCTGTTCTTACCTAATACGGGATTAAGATTTACATAAACCAGTACAGGTCAGAATGTAATAAGGGTTAAGGAGCAGACATGGCAGAGGAAAGAAAGGTCTCCTAAGAAGGCAGATAAGGTGGGAAATAACAAAACTCTGTTCTCCTTTTAAAATAGTACTACCTGAATTTCTAGGCGGGGGTGGGGGGGTAATTTTTTTTAAGAGCACAGTCTCAAACTGACTAAAAAGCTTTCTCCCAGATACTAGAATCCTCACGATCAGCTTTTAAATGAAGGCTGAGTATTGACTTAAAGACACAGTAGAATTCAGCAATGAGATAGAGCTTAGCTGTATCTTCTAGAAGACACTCAGATTCCATCACTATAGAAAAATATGGCAATGAAATACAGAACTGGTAAACTCATTTCTCAATGTGTAAAGTTTTTCTCATTCCTATGCTGAACATGGTGACCTATTCTCTAATTAGTAACTGAGGAAAGGGGTGGGGGAAAGGTAGTTGAAGGTTTTGTGAAGTTTCATCTCATCCAGACTTTACTTACTTGGGAGTAGTCTAGAGTAGCAGAAAGGGCCATAACTACTTGTTTTCCAACCTACACACTACCACTTACCAAGTGGGACCTTGCACAAGATATTTGCCTCTGAGCTCAGAGGCATCATCTATGAAATAGATACTAATATCGAGAGGATGAAATTAACATGTAACTTATAAATCAACAATTTAAAGATATCTTGCTTCAGGTGAACATCTTCAAGTCTTGCCATAAATATTTTTAGGCCTAAGAAAGAAGTTTTGGCTAAAGACCAGCAAGAATGACCTTTGATGAGATGATTAGGGTCCCTAAAAATGAATGGTGCCATACATTTTAAAACTAGCAGCAACTGGAGATTTTAACTTCCAAAGGTATAGTGTAGACTGGTTAAAACAGAAGACTCAACAGTGGGAGTCGAGCCCTGCCAAGTAGTTAATCTCTGCACCTCAGTTTCTTTATCTCAGAAGCAGATGTAATGATACTTTACAACTTTGGGCATCACGGAAAATTATACAGTAAAGGTGGATGTCTATTCAGCTTATAGACTGAAAATGCATAACAAAGGTACTACAGTGCATCTTCTTGTAAAAATTGGGACTCCATAAAGCTCATGTTTCAGAAATAAAGGAGGGTAACCCTACCTGGCCAAAAGGAGGAGACTAGTACGATTAATTTACGCTAACTTAAGGGGCAAAGTCAGCCCTTCCCACTCACCCCAACTGCTTACAAATGCTATTAAGATGTGGAAACTGACTAATGTCTTAGTCATTAAACCTGTCCTGAAATCTCCCTTCAGGTAGATTTTAACTCCTTGGGAAGGGACTACCAGCTGTTGACACAAATGTGAGCTTTCTCCTCTTAGGCACACAGCTGGATTACATTTCCTGGCCTCTGTTGCAGTAAGGTGCAGCCATGTTAGCCAATGGAATTTGAGTGGAGATGTGCTATTTCCAGGCTTTTAAAGATGTTTCTTCCCTGCTCTCTTTTCTTTTTCTACTGGCTAGATGTAAACGACCACAAAGCCCTAAGACACTCTTCTCAGATAGGGTTTCCAGTGAGAATTACGCCCTAATGCCCTAACAGCCATTGTATGCAACAAATGTGAAAATCATTTTCTTTAGGCTTATTAGAAATAAAAGAACCCAGTTGAGAATGATTGCCCTAGGAGAGGATGCAACTACATGATTAAAGGAACGTGGGTCCCTGATTAACTATGAAGGAATCCTCACATAAACTAGAAATAAACGAGTCATGAATTTGGAGGTCTATTTGTTACAGCAGCTAGTATTACCCCAACTAATAGATCACCCTAAACTGACTCCTTTGATACAAATTTGTTGCTTACACTCAACTTCCGGTGATTAAAAAGAATGCAGAGAAATTGATTATCCATGCTTTTTTCTCCACAAAATACAAATGGTTTATGCAATTCTGATATAGTAGGGAATTTTATCATCAGTCAACACAAAGTTAGACACCTTTAAATTTTAATGAAAAAGTAGATAATCTATTTTAAAATTACAATTTCAAGTATAAAAAGATGTATCTATACACTGACTTTACATACATAAAGAAAACTTGGACTTTGAAGCCCTAAAGCTTCAAAGATCTTTGCCCTCCTCCATACGAGCCTAGTATTCTGCAATGGGCCTGCTGATTTAAAAATACAAAGTGAAGACCTTTTTCAGGGGCAATGCTTTGTCTTTCATTTGTACAACTCACCAAGGTTGTTTGACTCTCAGCACCCTGGGCTCACCAGGATGTGGTCCAAAGCAAACCAACCTAGATTTTTAGGAAAAAACAGGTTCCAGGGACTTCAGTTCCTCTCCTGTCCTCTCCTATGAAGACGCTGTCCCAACTCGCATGATTCTAAACAACGTGTTGATGTTGTTGCTTCGAATTGCATCCCGACAAGCAGAGATCACCTGGTTCTTCGGTTTTCCAACTGCATGAGAGAAACATCAATTACTGTGATCCAAAAGATGAAAAGTAAAATTATAAATCAGAGGCCAGTTTTAAAACAATATAAAACTGGGGTAAAAAGAGCTATGTGATACGCAAATCTAACTAATTTATCTTAACTCCCTGAAAAAGATAAGGAATTTATCAAGCCAAACTGACAGACCATCTCAAACCTAGAGACTAGAAGTCAGTGTAACAGAAAAGGAACAAAATTCATATCCACTAGCAAAGATAATTTCTAAATGGTCAGAAGCAGCATGGACCCAAAACAGCAGAATTCAGGTATAACTTCTAGCTATAGTTCTCCATCCTTTGGGTTTATCCTATTCTTTTTCTAAACTTTTAGGTGGGATGCTCAACTCATCAATTTCCAGTTCTCTCTCTTCCTAATAGGAGCCTTCACGGCCATACCTTTCCTCCTGGGTATATGTCACTAGGTTTTTCCTGAGAGGATGCAGCAAGATCTATGAAAAGGGGATGGAGGTTTTCTTTCCCTCTGAAGCCTGGAGACGGACTAAAACCAAACTGGAGGCTCAATGACTGAACTCAAGTGGCAGGTGCCAGCATGAATGGAAAAGGTTTGCTACTCTCGGCCCCAACATGAACTCCTGAATACTACCACCATCTTCAACGATTCTCACCAAAAAATCCCCAAGAGTTGTGCTATGAAAAGACTTACCACGCAGACGGCCTGCTCTTTGAATCGCTTGATTTACTGCTTTTAGGTTTCCCAATAGCTCTGTGTGATTGTTACAGCGAATTTTATATCCATTTAGCAAATCCTTATTAAGGTCATATAGTTCCATATAGCGATTCTTCATCGTTTTCCTGTGTAACCCAATAGAAATATAACATTATTCTACCTCAGTATGGCAGACTTAAATGGAAAAATCTGCAAACATGTTAGACATATAAAGAAGACACCATTTTTAGCTATTTTCATTAAAACAGGGTAACTGTTAAAGTTTTTACTTTGAAAACATTGTGACGATTTCCTCAAAATATTTTATTTCTTCCACGTAAAAGGAAAAGAAGTGGCCTTCATTGGTTACTGGTCCATGGTTTGTTTGGATTCAGGAACTAAGAATGATCAAGTACCCACTGTCCCCCGCCACTGGGTAGGGGGAAGTGAGCAAGGTGATCAGCCATCCTCCAAGTTCCAGATTATTATTTATTTGATGAAAGAGACTTATGCTTAACAAAATATTTTTACACAACTAACAGATTCAGCTTTATATTTTATCGAGGTTTTAAAAACAAAGGTATAAAATTAACACAATGAGATATTACTGTAAAACGATTAAAATTTAAAAACTGATAATACCAAATGCTGACAAGGATGCGGAGCAACTACAACTCTCATACATCACTGATGGGAATGCAGAAGGGCACAGCCATTCTGGAAAACGGTTTGGCACATACACTTACTATATGACCCATTACAAGGTATTTTTCCAAGAGAAATGAAAACATATGTCCACCAAAAACCAGTATGTGAATGCATATAGCAGCTTTATTCACAATCACCAAAGTCTGGATACAATCCAAATATCCATCAAACACTGAATGTTTAAATAAATTATGGCACATCCATACAATGGAATACCACTCAGCAATGAGAGGAACGGATTACTGATTGATGCAACAGCACTGATGAAACTCAAAGGCAAGCAAAACAAGCCAGACTCAAAAGCCTATATATTGTATGATTCCATTTATATGACATTTTGAAAAAGGTAAAACTATAGGGAGAGAAATCAGATCGATGGGTGCCAAGGACTGAGGGTGAAAGGCAGGCACTGACCGCAAAGGGAAACAAGGGTGACAGAAACGTTCTATATCTTGATTGTGGTGTGGTAGTGGCAGCTCGATTGTCTAAGTTTCTCAAAATTCACAAAACTGTGTATTTTAAAAGGGTGTATTTGCTGCATGTTTATATAAGTATCAATTAACTTGACTTAAAAAATAAAAACAAATACATATATCTGAGAGCCTCAAGTAATTCAGGCAGGAAAGAAGGAATTTAGAGATTGGTGGTCACTTTCCTTCAGTTTTGCACAGACTTAAATACTGAGAGCAAACAACATCTTTTTGACAGTTAAGAAAAAAGCCAGAGAAAGTAAATGAACAAGAGCGAGCCCTAACGCTGGCCCAAAAAAGCAAAACTCTTATGTACCTCAGAGAAAATAATTGGAAGCAAGTGAATTGGAAAATAAGAGGTAAAATTATCTCAACTTACAGATGATATATCTGTAAAAAGTAAACAATAAGATAATTTCGGAAAGTAGCGGATGATAAAATCAACATACAAAAATCAGTAGTGTTCATACAGACTAACGGAAAACCACTGAGAAGATATTATGTGGAAGAAAGGGCCTATTTACAATTGCAAAAAAGAAAATACCTAGGCTTAAACTTAACAAGAAATGTCCAAAACCTACCTGAAGAAAACCATTAAACATTCCTGAAAGACACAAAACATGACTAGAATAAATATAAAGACATGCCATGTTCTTGGAAAGGAAGACCCAACATCATAACATGAACCTCAACCATCACTGGTTAACTATTTTACTGAATTCGCCTTAGTACACTTTATTGCCAAGATGAATTTTATATCCAAGCAAACTACAAGCTAGACTTGCACATATTTGCCTTTAACTCTTATGTTGTAAAATACATTCATAAAAATTCATAGAACAAATCTTGGGTAACCAGGTGAAGAAACAGGACATTGCCAGGATCCCAGAAGTTTCCCCATATGTCCTTTCTGAATACAGTCCCACTGCCCCTAAGAGAAAACAGGATTTTAAATGATAATCTTTTCCCTGTTTTTCTTTATACTGTCATCATCTCTTTGTGCTGCCCAAACTATGTTAATGTTTTCAAAGTATGTAAATGAAAGCATTTTGTACATATCGAGTCTCATTTCTTTCAATCTCCACTGTGTTTGCAAAATTTATTCACGTTGTTATGTGTCACTGAGGTTCATTCATTCTCATTGCTATGTAGTATTCAATTGTTTGAATATGTCACAACTGATCCATTATACTGTTGTTGCAAGTTTGGATTGTTTCCACTTTGGAGTTTTTATGAACAATGCTTTTATGAACATTATTTTCCAAGTATCCTAGCTTGTATGTGCACAAGTTTCTCTAGGCTACAAAACTGGAAGTGGATTGCTGGGTCATAAGGTATGAAGATTTTCATATTACTGATAATGTCACGCTGTTTTCCAAAGTCATCAGACCAACTTACACTCGTACTAGTGTCTGCGAGTTGCTGCTATTCCACACTGCTCACGTTTTTAACCTTGCACCCATCCTAGCCATGGTAAATACTCACATATCCCTCATCAGACGAGCATCCTCAGCTCGGACCAGCAAACTTCGGATCAGATTAGAGTTATCAGCCATGTCAGCACTGAGCTTCTGATGCACTGAATGATATTCATCCACCTGGAGACCATGAACAGTCAGGAACTAAGACGGCCTCAGACACTTCTTGGAGACTAGGCAAACTGAGAAGGTGCTATCTACCAGGTACTGAGGAGGCCCTTTTCTGCCCCCTGTTCACTCCCACCCTCTTACTAACTCCCATTATTTCATCTCCTCCTAACAAAATAGTCCATGCTGCCTCCAGTACTCAGGATGACACTCCATTTGGATTCTTCCCATGTCTTAGCATAGGGGACCCTAGCAACACAAACATTAACATTTTAGGGATTTGAAGTGGGAATGCTGTTACAATTTGGGGCCAATCATAATCCTCCTCCTTTTGCTTTTTTTTTTTA